AAGGGCCTTATGACTTTTTTATTTTTAAAACCACGCCCACAGAAACAGCAACGAATCTTGGAATTTCGCTGCGTTTTGTGTTTAAATCAATAAGGCTTTGGATTTCTTCTTTTTTTTAATCTATGCTGAAACTGAATTATATTTTATGAGAAAAGTAGTAGACAATACTGACGCTTTTCTAAAAACTTGATTCTAACGATTTCACCACGAAAACTTGAACAGCATAACATTATTACGTCAACTAATAGTCTTATACTTTACAAAGTCAACTTATTGATCACTTGCCTTCGTCTACATTTGTAAATATTTTCCGAAAAGTAACTAACTAACATTTCGTAGTACTATTTAGTGAACTTATCTTTCTTATTCATAAGTATATTTTAAAAGAGATTATTATTTGGAAATGGTATGTGATCAAATACTGTATGTAGCCCACAATGGACATTTTGCAATGGTTTCACCGAAATGGCGAATATTTTTGTATAAAAAATTCTTTATTTATAACTTTGAAAGAATTATTTTGAATTTTTTGGTTTTCAGAGTAAATAAAGAAGTGAGTGAATATTTTACAAATATGCCTACATATTTAACATATATGTAGAAATATGTATACTTGAGATACTCGTAGAGGAGTTAATAGAAAATCGTGTTTAAATGAAAAAAAATCGTGAAAATAAAAATGATTATACTAATTTAAGATTTTCCAACAGGGTATCCACTAATCTATATAGCACGCACATATTTATATTCGGTAGCCAGATTCAACTAGTCAATACGATTGCAATAGTAACTAATTATATTTTAAAAAAATATTTTTATAGGCAACAAATTACAATGAAGGCAAAGATCGTCATCGAAATTTTAAACCACCTCTGCTTTAGATATGACCAATTTATGATTGTTTTTGAAACATATTTGCTGGGTTGTATATACTTTTTCTGCGTCTACAGCGTACGATCGCCAGCCTACATTAACTAAATGAATTAATTTTTTGTTCTTTTATATTTTTATTAAAGAGCGTATATTTTTTTTCTGGGCAATTTAAAAATATACATCCATACAACATGTATGTACGAGTATGTACAAAGAGACATACATATTAATTAGCTAAATAGTTTTCATTTCATTTCATTGTTGTATTGTTTCGTTTACGTATTGTTCAAAATACTTTTTGTGAATGAACGCAATTTAATTTAATTGATTTTTCATGCTTAATACAAATCAGTAGCTTAATAGAGCTGTATAATCGTTTAGCTTGTATAACAATGGTTGGATAGGTATTCATGAATGAAGTTTTTTTTTAATTTTTTTTTTTAAGCTTAACCATGATACAAACAACAAGGTAGTTTCTTTCAAATATTTTTTCCGAAATACTCGTATTAGCCATCTCACATAAAAAGGGTAATGTAAATGTTAAGCATTATGTTTGTGCTACCATTTTCATTTTTTAACAAATAACTTTTTAAATTAAAAAAAAAATATATCCAAAAAATACAAAGCTTTTGAATGAAAACAAAAAAAATAAAGAAAAATAAAACGTATTTATAAGAAACTTCAAAGCTTTCATAAAGATGAGAGCAGGAGAACAAATACAACAGTTACCGTCCTTTTTTTTTTTTGTTTTCAATATAACAATTGTCAAAATCTTAGTTAGCAAAAGTCAGATAAGAAAGAAATAAAAATTAAAATTTATGTCCTTAGCTGCAAAATCCAAGTTTGCTAATTTAAATGGCATTAACAGGACCGCTAACAGTGAGAACCGGTGAAATAAATTTAGTTTTTTTTTAACACCCGTAACTGAATTTGATAGTCCTTGTCAAATTACTTTTGCCAGTTCGTACAGTAAAAAAGAAGAATATTCACATCGAAATGGAGGACAGTGCACAACAAAATAAATAAGTTTTATTTATTTGTTTATTAAATCATAAATATTTGAACCTAATTATTGAAAATATGCCTAAAAGATGAAAAAGCTGAGTGAAATCGCTATTTTCCAAATTAAAAGAGTAATTTTTTGCTCGCAAACTTCTTAACATGCGCCTTTTTAGACTTTTTATCCATTTTCAATGAATTCCAGGCCTTGAATATACCTACGCATTTTGGTTTTTATTTTTTCTCAAACTAACAATACAAAATCAAAGAGAAGTTTTTTGTTACCTGCTTCATTGGTCACAAAATTTACAGGGGACAGTGAACTCAGAATACGAAATAGTAACAAAATTTACTGAATGATAAATTTTAATACCAAAGTAAATTTTGTTATCTCTACAGAATAGGCCTGTAAAAGTAGAATAGTTTCTTTTATTGTTGTGTTTTCTTACCAAAGGGTGATTTTAGGATAATGTGCTGACGCACATTTCGTGTTTTGTAACCATGAATCGTCTTACAAACGAACAACACTTGCAAATTATTGAATTTTATTATCAAAATGCGTGCTCTATTGAGAAAGATCATCGCGCGTTTTTTTATCGAAAATTTGTATTCAGCGACGAAGCTCATTTTTGGCTTAGTGGGTACGTTAATAAGTAGAATTGTCGATCAGATCAGCCAGAAGCATTGCAAGAGCTCCCAATACGTCCTGATTAATCACAGTTTGGTACGGTTTATGGGTTGCTTGCATCATGAGACCGTACTTCTTCAAAGAAGGTGCGAATCGTAACGTAACTGTGAATTGTGAGCGCTACCGTTGGATGATATCAAACTTTTTTTTGCCCAAAATGCAAGAGCTTGACTGGCATGACATATGATTTCAACAAGACGGTGCCACCGTAATATATATTAGATATCTACTCATATTAGTGGCTGACGTCACAACGCTCTAAAATTATCAACAGGAAATACTCGTACGTTTGCCTCGTAATCGAAACTTTCCTGACTCGTGTGCCAGTATAGCAATACACGAATGTAGAAAGCAATATTTACAGTTTAACTGACGCCCACTAACTTTTACTCTTCATTACAACAAAAACAGAAGCCACGTTAATGTAGGTGTGTGTTTTTGTCTGTTTATAAGTCTACCTACATACACCGTCATATACATATGATATCATATACATATGATATTATTATAATACGTATATTTATGCGCTTGGACATCAAAAATCACGTGCTTTACCCGCGCTAAAGCTTTCTCGTGAGCAAAACGGAGTAATTTCCATGAATTCAACAAATTTTCTATGCGCGCGCACCACGTGCAACCAAAAAACCGAAAATTTACCAACAATAAACAAATATGAAAAGCTAAAACATGTTGTGTCATATTGAGTTGTCGTCCGTATGGCTCGCTCTCCACAAATCGGCTGCTGGCCGACTCCAAATCGTAACACTGGAGTGAGCATACATACAAATGAGTTTATCACATTTCGCGTTGTCCTGCCTTCAAAATTGTACAATATTTAACAAATTAAAAACGAAAATCAACTACACATTTATATAATAACCTTTAAGTGGCGAGATATAAAAAGTTTAACAATTTGACGTGAAGTAGAAGACAAGTGACTGTCGCTAATTTCTGTAATAAAAACTACAAACTCACTGGCAGACAAAGGAAGCAACATTTTGTCATTTCAATACAAGCGTTTAATGGAAATCGAAGTGTTTTCGGTCATAAATCAAATTCGATTGCCAAGGACTCTTCAGAAGTACATTCGTGCGGCTTTCTTTGAGGCTGATAGCCCTAAGGCTGTGCAGTGGAGGCGTCAAATATAGAACGTCTTGGTCGTCTTGCCTTTTGTTGTTCATTATCGAAATATAATTTCCGCAGCTTTCAACTAGTCAGCAACTTGAAGTGAGTATTTTCTTTTCAAAAAATAATGCTTTGCTGAAAAAAGTAATGAAGCGAAAGGAAGTAATGTTTATTTTTCATAAATAGTTTGAGGAGCATATGTGCAGAATGTGTTAATTTTTACCATTAGTGTGAAGGTATAAATTAAACGCGAGGAAGATTTCCATATAAATGAATAAATATGCATTTTCTAATTAATATTTTTATTTAATTTAGTTAAATTACTTTTAATTTTTTGTTGTACTTCAGTTGAGTTTATACTTAATAAAATTAAATTTCATTATTTTATTTTGTTTTTTATTTTGATATTTTACTTTTTTTATTTTATTTTATTTTATTTTATTTTATTTTATTTAATATTATTTTATTTTATTTTATTTTATTTTGGCTTATTTTATTTCATTTTAATCTATTTTATTTTACATTTATTTATTTTGTATTATTTTATCTTACTTAATTTTATATTTTATTTTTTTTTTTGTTTTATTTTTCTTGCATGTCATATCATCGTTTTGCTTAATTAATTTGTATTTTTGTTTGTTCTTTAATTTCTTCTAATTTAGGTTTATTTCTATTATTAATCTTTGTTATTGATTTTTGGCGACCGCAATGGCAGTTCGTACTGCCATTCGGAAGATAAAATTTCGAGTCCTGGTGCATCCAATTTCTAAAAATTATATAAATTTAATTAAAAAAATTGCGGTTGCCCTTCGGCAGGGAATGCCAAGCCCTGCCAGTGTGTTTCAAACATGAAATAAAATTCTCTTCATAAAAATCCATCGACCGTTCGGAGGCGGCTCTGAGGAGGAGCTCGCCCGAAAGTCGCTTTAGCGGTTACAAAGCACCAATATTAAATATACTTATATATTATATATCTATTTCTGATTTAACTATCTATATATTAATAAAATGATCTAGAATTGATTACAACATTAAAATATATATCTACTACACCCGCTTTATGGAGAAATAAAAAAGTTAATACCATAAGATGAAATAAGCTATAAGTTTAGTAACGAGTTTAGTACTTTGCCGTAGGAGAGTAATACCAATTAGTCAATAAATATTGACAGTAAACCATAAATTGTTTAATTAACCAAAGTATTGCTTGTAAGAGATAAATTTTAAAATATTTAAAAATATTTTTTTATAGAAATTATTTAAGACTTTTCGAAACATTTGCTATGAACTTAATTTGTTTCCCTTTTATTTACAGAAAAGTCGCACAGAGTGTGGGTGATATTATTGTGCAATTGGACGTATTCGACGAGCAAAGAGAATGCGACGAAGCGCAGAGTCTGCAGGGTCCAAATGGCATCAACTTGAACTCGCATCTTGATGTGTTCTACGCGATATTGCGGCAGGTAATTATGAGTGTAACCAAATTATTTTATTCTATCAAATATAATGGAGGAAAATAAAAATAAAAAATGAAATAAAGAAACTAAAATAAAAGGAAATGAAATAAAATAATTTAAAATACAATAGAATGAAAGAAATGAAATAAAAAATAACAAATAAAATAAAATATAACAAAATAAAAAATGAAATAAAATAAAGTTAAATAAATTAATTTAAAATGAAATGAATCGAAATGAAATTAAATCAAATAAAATTTAATAAAATGATCAAAATATAATAAAAAGTAAATAAAAAAAACCGAAATAAAATTAAATAAAATGAAATTAATAAAAGTAATTAATAAAATGAAAAAATAAAAGTAAAGTAAAATAAATTAAAATAAAATAGAATGAAAGAAAATAAAAAAATAAAGCAAAATAAAACCAAATAAAAAATTCAATTAAATGAACTATAATAAAATAAAATAAAAAATAAATGAAATGAAGGAAAATGATGTGCAATGGAAACAAAATAAAGTGTAATTAAATACATTAAAATAAATAAAATAAAGTAAAAAAAAAAGAAGTAATAAAATAAAATTTCATAATATAAAACAAAAAATGATAAAAAAATAAATAAGAAACGAAATAAAATAAAATAAAAAAATAAAATGAAATGAGATAAAAAATAAAAATAAATTAAAATAAAATAGAATGTAAGAAAATAAAATAAAAAAATTAATAAAACAAAACAGAAAAATAAAAAGTTAAATTAAATAAACTGTAATAAAATAAAATAAAAAATAAATAAAATAAAGTTAAATAAAATAAAATGAATTGAAATGAAGGGAAATGATTTGCAATGGAACGAAATAAAATAAAATTTTAAGAAATAAAGCAAAAGAAAATGAAATGAAATAAAATAAACTAGATAACGTAAAGCAAAATACAAGAAAAAAATAAAAAAATAAAAATATATTTTATTATATTATAACATAAAATGAAATGCAAAGAATAAATAAAATAAACTAATTAAAATAGAGTGAAAGTAAACAAAATAAAAAATAACATAAAATAAGAAATAAATAAATTAAAGTCAAGTAAAATAAAATAAATTAAAGTAAAATAAAATAAAATAAAGTGAAATGAAATAAATTTAAATAAATTTAAATAAAACAAAAGAAAATGAAATGAAATAAAATAAACTTTATAAACTATAACAAAAAATAAATAAATCAAAAACAAAATAAAGTTAAATAAAATGATATAAAATAAAAAGAAACAAAATAATAATTAAAAAATAAAATAAATCGAAATAGAGTACGTTAAAATTTATAAAATGTAATATAACATGAGATAATAAAATAAAATAAAAAAAAATTAATATAATATCTATTGTACATAATTAAATAAAATACAATAAATAAATGAAGTTAAAAAATATCATAAAGCAAATAAAATGAAAACATAAAATAAATAAAAAAATAAAATAAATTAAGAAAGAAGAGCTGTCTTCGGTCATGCCATGTAGTATTTATCTCATATTTACAGAAATTGGTTAGAGAGGGCAATATGACGAAGTAGTTCGATGAGTTTCCGTGTTAATGCTTCCAATCCATTTGTAATCAGACCTAATGTCTGAACAAATCGGTGGTAAAGGAACTGTAGTGGCCCATTCTGGTCGGTTGCGATAAATAATTTTTTTACCAAGTTTAGTTGAAGTATCTCAAAAACTGAGGGACATCTTAACTCACCATTCCGACCAAATCTATATACATTTTTTATGAAATATAAAATAAAGAAAAATTAAAAAAAATAATAAATATAATTAAGCAAAGTATAAAAGTGAAAAAAATTAAATAAAGTTAAGTAATTCACATTAATAAATAAATAAAATAAAATAAAATAAATTATAATTATTGAAAAATACTAAAAAGAGTTAACTCAAGTTCCTTTTAATAAAAGCTAATTTACGACATACCTGTATGTATGTAGTATGTACACATGTATGTAAGCTAAACAAAATAATGTATGAATTATGAGCTGAAATGTTATTTATTGCATTTCCCTTTTTAGAACATAATTCCTCAATGCCTTTTTTGTAGCAGGAATGTAGCGAAAGCTGCTGAGACTGTTGTCGCCGTTAAAATTACACATTTTATCCTCAGCGATTTGTAGAGAATTCAGTATATTCTGTTAAACCAGTTTTCGTATTTTTACTATATGCTATTACAAGCATTACAAGTACAGAACAACACACGTGCCATTTACAGACAAAACAATTTATATTAATTGCTTCCCAAAAACTCACAAAACAACTTTCTACTTGTCTAGGTGGCCGACACGCCACAGGAAGTGCCATTCCTAAGCATACTACAACATTTATTACGTATCGATCCCAAGGAGGCAATTAGTGATGTGATCTGGGATACAACCGAAAAATTGGTACATCGTGCCACACTCCTCGAGAGTCATGAGGACTCCGTAAGGCTGCTGCGTTCGCCGAGTGTACAGAAGTTCTCGTGTCCGCATTGTCGCGGTGATGCCACGAGTCCTAGTCGCAAAAATGCCGCCTCACTTTCTACCTCAGCTTCATCACAGCTGCATAATGGACCGCTATCACCGATTTCATCACCGCCACCACCACCAGCACCACCACTACTACCATCATCGTCATCGACATCGGTACACAATAGTATGGCAGCACCACCGCCACCAGCGCCGCCACCGCCAATGCCACCACCAAATATGAATGGTCCACTGAGTGTTGGCATTGGTGCACCGCCACCACCTCCCCCACCCATGATGAACGGTAATTGTCTTATAGCACCGCCTGCACCACCGCCAGTACCCGGCGCTCCACCACCACCTGCTCCCCAACCGCCTGGCTCGGCGTGCAATTTACTCAACAGTCACAGCGCTCATCCCACACGACCCGTCACGCCTGATATGAGTATGAATGGTCATAATATGATATTGCTTCCACAACAAGATACACCAGCGCCCAAATCGAAGATGAAAACAATCAATTGGGGTAAAATACCACCAAATCGTGTCATAGGCAAACAGAATATATGGACGATTGTCGCGAATAATCATCAGGATACACCAATGACGGACATCGACTGGAATGAAATGGAGGGTCTCTTCTGTCTGCAGTCAACTAGTGCACAAGGCTCGCCAAAATTGGGCCGAGAGAGTAGCAGTAGCTCGGGTTACGACACACTCGATCGCAAGTCCAAAAAAGAAAGCACCGAGATATCTCTGTTGGATGGTAAACGCAGTCTGAATGTGAACATCTTTCTCAAGCAATTCCGAAGGTACGGCAGTTATCAATATCAAATAGTTTGAAAAATATTAAAAAAAAAATGATATAATTTTAGCTCCAACGAGGATATCATACAGTTAATAAGAGATGGCGAGCACGATGATATTGGCGCTGAAAAGTTACGTGGTTTATTGAAAATTCTGCCAGAAGTCGATGAATTAGATATGCTTAAAACCTTCAATGGCGATAAAGCTCGTTTGGGCAATGCAGAGAAGTTTCTATTGCAACTCTTGGAAGTGCCCAAGTAAGTGTAGAAATCGATTAGAATACCAAATGTATGTATATATTTAATAATTTAAACACTTTACTTCTGTTTTTAGCTACAAACTGCGTATCGAAAGCATGTTGCTGAAGGAGGAGTTTGCTGCAAACATCAGTTACCTAGATCCATGTATCAACGCTATGATTTACGCAGGTGGAGGTAAGACTACGATTTTTTTTCGAATTATACAAGATCAGTTGCGGTAGCCGATATGCGAAATGGCACGCGGACGATCAGGGGTTCGACCCCTGGGTAAGCCAACATCTAAAATTATAGAAAAAAATTCGCAAAAGCCCTGTGTAGATCAACTTATTCTAACCGCTTAGGGATTAGGGTTTAAAATCAATCTAAGTCCCCGAAGTCATCTAATAGGATGTCCAGGAAACGTGCTGTTCCAACGAGATCGGACATGCTGGGCATACGTTGGGTATGTTGGGGTCGAGTCTAGATACATAGCTGCTACAATATCCAGTTGTTGTACCAGTGTCACGCTGGTCTCTAGAGACAGCTCGAGCTCGCTGCGATACGCCATTCACGGGAAGGGAGTCTTTGACGGTGGTGTTGACTCTCTCCTGGTAAATGGCCTTCAGTGCTTGTCTGTACACTGGCCTGTCCAGACAATGTATGCTTGTCGTAAGACTTGGCTAGTAGCTAGTCTGGTTTTTATACCGGAACGACCCAAGTTTTTATCCCGTCAAAGACCGTCACTCCTGGAATATTCTCCGAAAACCAATTTGGAGATTCTCTTTGCGATTTCTATGATTTTTATTATATCTCTGATCGGATGCCAGCAAAACAAAAAGAGATGAGACTCCACTCACTTCGATGAATTGCTTACAGAGATATTTTGCGTCCATTACTGTCCCAAATTGGTACTAGTTATTCCGCTTTCACCTAAAAATTTGAAGCCACGTGAAGTAGGCAATAAAAATAATTATTTTCCTTTATGTTTACTGAGGTTACAGTGGACCTTGCAGAGCTCTGATTATTGCAAACCTTCATTTTTCTATAAAATTTCAAGCCCTTGTATATTCCACTTCTGATACATATATTGTATATATTATACAATTTTATATATTTCTCAAACCTGTTTTTAGACCTTATGAACAACGAAATGCTACAAGAAGTTCTGTATATGGTTGTAATAGCCGGAAACTTCCTCAACTCGGGCGGCTATGCTGGCAACGCAGCAGGCGTCAAACTCTCCTCACTGCAAAAGCTCACCGACATACGCGCCAACAAGCCAGGCATTAATCTAATACACTTTGTAGCTATGCAGGCGGAGAAACGTAATCCGGAACTGCTAACATTCCCCGCACAATTGGGCACTTTGGAGAATGCCTCGCGGTAAGAACGCGAAAGCGCTTCATAGAATATGATTTTTTAAAGTTTCTCAAACTGAAATTGAATTTTCAGCACTACTGCCGAGCAGATAAATAATGAGATCAATGCGCTGGATACGCGCATACGTAAAATCAAAAGACAAATCGAACAGCCGACAACGGAGGATGAAATAAAAGAGCAAATGTGGGAATTTTTAGAGGTTAGTTATTTTGCAAAGAATGCTAAACACAAGCAGATACTCACTTGCATTTACCAATTACACAGGGCGCCGAAAGGGAGGTAGCGGTGCTACAGTCCAACATGAAGGAAGTCGAGACAATGCGCTTAAAGTTGGCAGATTTCTTTTGTGAAGATGCCGCACACTTTAAATTGGAGGAGTGTTTCAAAGTATTGCAATCATTCTGTGATAAATTTAAGCAGGCTGTGAAGGAGAATGAACGACGACAACAATTAGAGGAGCAGGCCACATTGAGGCGTAAACAACGCGAAGAACAACTCGCCAGACGCGCTAGACAACGTAATGCCGCAAGCAACTATTTGCACATTTTTTACTTTTAAATAATTATTGTATTTTTCTGTTTGTTACACTCTCTTCACACAGTTAGCCAATGTGGCACACCAGTCTCTGATTCGGAAAATCAATGTAGCATTGAGAAAATGTTTGAAACTTCCGATGGCATCTCGCCCAGCATTACGCCAAATGGTAGTATGCGCAAACGTAGACCGAGTCGTGTTTTACCCGAAGAAGATGATCTTATGGAGTTCTTACGAACATCCGGTCATGAGCACATAAGCAGGGATCGTAAGGCATACGGCAGTTTGGGTATGTTAAGTTTGTTGGAATTTTTCTTTTGCTATTTTTTTCGGGCAATTTGTCATGAAATATATTGTTTTTTACACTTCGCACGTAGATCGTTCGTGGGCACGTCGCGCACGCTCCGGCAGCTCTAGCCGAAAACGGCCCGAACTCTTGAATGTCGACTTCAGTGATGATCGGGAACGCGCCAGTTCGCCTGCGCCTATATTGCATATGGATAAGAAATCACCAACTTCGCCACAAGCTGGCGGCACAACACCTTCACCCACGCAGCAAGCCAGCGAGGATACAAAACCGAGGTGAGTAAATACACTACCGCATACATGCATACATATATATCATGTACATGACATATGTATATATAATATAATATAATTATTGGTGCTATTCTGAGCGTGTTATACATACATACATAATTTTAATATATAGAATATCCCGTGAATTTCGACTAAAAATCGAAAACTGGCTGCAATCCAACGAGAACGATGAAAAGCAAAACGAAGAATTCAAACGTAAGCGACGTTTGGTTAACAGTAATAGGCGATCGCTTGAAAACGACACAGGTACATACATATACAATATAATAAAATGCATATTTTGAAAAATAAAGAAAAAATAAATATCTCATACATACATGTAACGGTACTAAATATTTTTTTATCGATGTTTTTTTTGTTATTGCTTCTTTTCCCATAGATAGCGAACGAAAATTGGATACTTTACCTGAGGAGGAGAAAATCATACCGACCACGCCTACTACAACGACGAATTCTACTAATGCACACACTTTCAATAAAAATACTATCAGCGCTAACAACAACAATAACAACAGCTATAATAATTGTAATAACAATAATAATAACAGCAACATCAGCAGTAACAGCAACAATGTGAATAATTATAAGCGCGTTTATCCCGACTGGAAACCGTCCAATACGCTGGAGCACACCGATGTTGTTGGCACAATACAGGCAATTGCTGGTAAGTGTCTGCAAAAGCATTCTGACACTTCCTCACAGACAATACGGAATGTTTTTCGCGCGAAATGATTGGAATAGAGGGGTCTGAGAACTTAGAAATGAATTCAAATCGTTTTGCAATCCATGAATATTTTCTAAAAGAGCGCAAATTTCGGTTAGGTTTAAATGGACCAACGAGACGATACCACGTTCTGGATATTACCATGTAGTACACTACAAAACGAGCAAAGCTGTACTGCTGCAGTCTCGTTTGTCTCACTTTTGAAAAACATCGCTGCTCTCTTCGCGAATTGAGGTAGTTCTTTTAGCCCCTTATTCTGCACTGAAAGCTTTAGTGCTACACCATTTAGGTCCGTTCCTACATCTCCTGCATTGGTTGTCCTTTATTAAACCTAAATTGAAGACTTGTGACGCCAAAAGCAATGTGCTGTCAATAGTCCTACCAGTAGCCTGGAGTACAGCCATTTGATATCTGTAAGTTCCACGTCATATGTATGGTACATAATTTTTGCCCTTTCATCGTTCTTAAAGTCTCCCAATCGTGTAAAATAGGAATGAAATTAAAAAACAGTTCTACTTCTTGTAGTTCCGCGTCAATTAAACACTTTAAGTGAAGTCAGCACCTTCTCCACCTTGTCTTTTCAACATAGCAAAGATCTTCCTCTGCTTCTACGAACGAATGCAGCATCGAAAACTTTCAAAAGCTGGAGTATTTTCAACCTTTCAGATGACATTACTCAACCAGCTTAATCGGCGTTAACTGATTCCCTCGACTAATTCAATGTGATCTGCAATATTCGTCATCGCAAGTACCTAGAATACCGCGAAACATTTCTCTTGAAAACTCCACGACTAATCGGATGTTTTCTTCCATTCTGTGGCACTAGACAGACCACTTGGCTTTTGAATTGCCTACTCAGTACAGATTAGTAACTTGCGGCAAAAGTAGTTCTGTGTTCGAAACTGGCATTGTTGTTGGCATTCACTCTGGTTTTTGATACGACGATTATAACTCCAAAGTTATGACCATCAATAGTGACATGGGACCAACGATGGTAATGCTTCTACTGCATTTTTCACGCGAGAAAATAAGATCTCGTCCTCGTTCACTATCAGATCCATTGGCTTTTGTTGTAACCTAGATAAAATAGAATGGTATCGATATCATTTTCATATGCAACTTATGTAAATATCATCTACGCTTACTCTCTATTTCTAGTATTCTAGTAATAGTCTAGTATTAGTACATGGCGGCTCCCTTCGTTTCATTTTTGAATGTATAGTCTAATGAATAATAATTTCGGCAGGGAAGGTCATGCTGTCAGAGTGTATTTTTGACTTGAATTAAAAGCTCCTCTTAAAAAGCCATCAGCCGTTCAGAGGTGACTTAGTATATACTGTAGGTCCTTCCATTTATTGGAAAAACATCAAGGAGCATACTACAAGGAGGAGGAGCCCAGCCGAAAATCGCTTTAACGGTTACAAAGCTCCAATTATATTAAAATATGTCAAGTCTATGGGAAGGTTTGCTCAGTTCATTGATCATGGGACTTTAATCCTTCATATCGTCCACTATATAGGACTTTGTATTCTATACTGAGAGCACTTATTCTACGATTTGTGGCGCAGACTGAGGGTTCCCCGTTCCTTCAACCCTCCTTGTGTCCTCGTACAAGAAAGGCCAGACGTTCGTGCTCAGACCATAAAATGCTATTTTTTTAATGCGTGCGCCCCTCGCAGGTTGTTGTAGTAGGGGCTTTTCCAACCCTGCTAACAGACAGGCAATGTCACCGAGGTCATCTAACGGGAGGTCCAGGAAACGAGCTGCTTGGACAGGTCGGACAAAACGGGAGAGGGTGGTTAGATGTGTCGGTTTTAGAGGGCATGTAAAGAGATGGCTAGTATCGTGCAGGGACTCGTTACATGCTGGACATACGTTAGGTGAGTCGAGGTAGAAGCTTAACCGCTTGACCTCTTCATCGGCTATGGTTGGTAGTTTGACTCTTAGGACGCTATTCGCAAGAAAAGAGAGTTTTAAAAGGTGTTGCCTGACTCTTGGTGAATGGTATTTAGTACCTGTCTATACGCCGTCCTGTCCAGCAGTTGTTGCACATGTTGCTGGACTGTGTCCTTCAGGTCTAGTACACCCTTTCTAATGTGCCTGGGTTGAGAATGCTGACGTAGAAATTGCTTGCACACCAAAGCATTATGCTCCTCACTTCGTAGCACAGGTGTTTCGCTCAGCCGATATCAGAAGGTTTCCTGACGCGGTCATAAGGGCTGTGCTTTGGCAGGCCTATAACTTCTTCAACTGCGTCTCATTTCTCTCCGGTGCCTATGGGCGATCTAACCCCTTCCAAGGGGTTCCAACCTGTTTCTTTAATTATTTCAATTCAGAGAATTCTTAAGTGGTTAATAATTCAAATGGTATTTTAGTGCTTTACCTAAACGAGTTCATGTTTTACTTCCTGAGTCGCAATCATTCCGCGATATAGCGTGACCGTGAAACTACTACGGAGTTAGAAACTTTTAATTTTTTAATTATTTTCAGATGTGAATAATGCCCGAGACAAGGCGCACTGGCGCAAAGGCAGTCGTACAAATGAACAACCCGAAAATGGCAAAGATGAGTTACAAGATGCTCAAGCAGCAAAGAATCAACACATCACGACAGCTGACGAGCTGCGTGAATACCGACGACAACGCTCACTGGAGAATGCAGAAAAACGCGCATCGGCACTCAAATCCATTGAAGAAGAAGATCGACGAAGATCGTTCATAAAGCAACTCGGTGAAAAGGACACATCCGATCTTTTACGTAATTACATACGTAAACCATCGACCAAAGAGACAGATGAGACAATAGTCCAAACTTCGAGGACAAGTGCGGATGTTTCCCCGACACCATTATCACCGTCTGCAAACAGTACACCAACGAAATCGAGAAGCGATACCAAAGTAAATAATGATAAACTAGATATGACCGTGACGAGAACCATGGATGATGCGTTTACTCATCACAACAGAGCACATAGAGGTCACAATGAGAAATATAGTCGCAAAGAGATCGATGCAGACAATGTAGAAACACCGCCGGTCACGCGTCGCATCATCGCCACACCAAATAAGACTTTAGTCACTATTAATGGACTGGATAAGCCAAATAGCAGCAGTCAACATGGAGAACGTACAAACAACCAGGAGTCCAGTGAACACGATATACCAGGCTTCTTTGATCGTTACTCAGCCACAAGACGTACGAGACGTTATAAGCGACCAACAGATTATAGCAGTGGTAATGAGGAGTTTTTGTCAACAAAAGACACATGTGAATCGAACAATGTGCGGCAGTCGTCCAGTGCTGGCGACATGGAACGACTGCATGGTAGCACAACAGAGCCACCGGCTTCGGCTAAAACTCCTGTGGAAAAGCTTGTGTTAAATGAATCAACGCAGAGCACGGCAAAACCCAAGCCGCTGGCGGAACGTACAATTACCAAACTGGAAAAGGTCGGACGTCATATCAGCTCAATCAATCAAGAAGATGTACAGGAAGCAATTCGTAACCTCAAGTCACCCACGAATACGCCAGATCGCATATGGAGTCCGCCACGTGATATAATCAGCACTCATATTACCAGTGCGTCGCCGGCAAGCTCGACACACAACGCCTCAGGCGCCACTACTGTCATCAAATTATCCAGCCACGAGCTCAACGATGAAGGTTTTGAGGAAACGCAAAGTCTTGTCTCCGACACGCCTTCACAAGGCAAAGAGAGCAACAGCTCATGTAATGGCGTGGGCGAGACGCTACCGACGCATACACGCGCCACCACAAGCCGAATCACAACACCAAAGTCCAACAGCATAAAACAAAGTAGCAGTCGGCTAGCTGATCGCTTGCAAATTTCAAAGCTACGCAACGTGCTGCCGCAGAAACCACAAGCCGCACAGCAGCAACAAACAACGACAACACGTCGTCCAACTACCACAACACATATAGATCGCAATCGTTCATTCCGCACACCAAATGGACCAACAGTACTTCAATCAGTGTTTGGCAGTGGCAGTGGCAGTGGCGCTGCAAGACGTGCACATTCCATGCGTCGTCCGGGCAACAGTCAACCCGACTCTGTACAAAGTGTCAATAGCTCACCAATACACGCGGTGCGTCGCGATGTGGAGCGCAGTAGCTCACGTAACAGCCTACGTTCGTCGCGTTCGTCCATCAACAGCGGCGCATCGACCAACACCGTTCGTCGCATGCCAATTGTGGTGAGTAAAACGCCGCTGCAAACAGTCTCCGTCGACTCCTCGCCCAGCAAGCGTCCGCTAACAATGCAAAACAATGTCCCGCCACATATGCGCGTCACAGTCGGCGCGTCTACGTCGAATCGCACACCGGTGCCGGCTAGTCGTAGCAGTAGCAGTGGTTCGAGCATAGGCCAACATATAGTTGTAGTGCGTAAAGTGACGAACACGAACGGCGGTGGTGTTGGCGCTGGACAGCGTTCTGTGCACTTGGGCAGCGCAAGTTTTAAGGAGAATCAAACCAACAGCAGCACGCCTACGCGTACACACAGTACACGCAGTGCTGCTCTAGTCAAAGCGACCATGTCACAACAGCCTGCGCCGCAGGCGATACACACACGCGCGAGTAGCAGTACGAGAAGTAGCTCGAGTAATCGGGCCATGAGCAGTTTTATGCGGCCAACGGCGTCAAGTGTCACCAAGCGAACCAAATAGGTGGGATAGAGTGTGAAATGAAGTTGGATGTTTTCAGTACATATACACTTTAGGGGTGTTGTGAAGAATGTTTTATGTTAATATTTTTAAAATAATTTACAATTTTTTGTTAGTAACCAAAGTTTTCTAAATTGGTAAAATAATGCTTAAATGTTTTTCAAAACTTCGAATTGAATCATTTATTTATGGATTCGAGGTGTACAATTGAAAACTGAAAACTATTCTTACGCCTAAAATAAAATATTATTTATTTTAAGAAATTTTCAAAAGGCCTTGAAAATTTCGGAAATCAATTTTCACTTAACCTTTAACTTTTTTGTACTCAAAGGTCTTTGTAACAGGCCAGAATTTAAATGAGAAACAAAAAAGCATTTTTTTTTATTCACTTATGAACCGCCCTAATCTATCATATCCCTATTTAAAAAAAAAAATAATTAAAAAAAGGAAACACAACTAAACTTTGGTATTTTTGTATATCTCTTTTGACACGGGATATTACTGAAAAAGGGTTAACCCAAATGTGCATGTGCGCTGATAATTATTTCAAGGCGTACATTAATTAAAAAATACTATTTTTATGCCTTAAAAAAAAATTCGTAACGTTTTCAAGAAAAACTTTCCAAAATGTTTGTAATTTTTCGTTTGAAACTCAAACAAATCAATGACAATTTTATTTTATTTTATTTCATTTTTTCAAAAATACATATTGAAAGTGCATTTTACGCCAAACTTACGACTTTTTCTAAATTTTATGAGCCGATTTAAAAAAAAAAACTTTATAAACACACTTTCAAAGTGAAAAAAAAAAATAATAATTTTCAATACTTTTTTCATTTTTCTACCTTTTTAAAGTGTTCGTAAAGAACTCTTTGGACCTCCCTACCAAACACCAATAAATCTATCATATCCGAACCTAAAAAAAAACACAGTAAAACAAAAAAATATATATGAAATACAAAAAATGCGTTTATTTTATATGTATGTTTGTAGCTGTTACTGTTACTAAAAAAAATCAATAAAAATCAAAACTTAAGATACTTGTATACGTATGTACATATATATATGTACAAACCAACGAACTTCTGAAACATTCCGTCTTGGGCATATTTTCTACACGTCTTTAGATTACATAAAATATAAAAGAGATTTAATATAGTTATTTACGTGTGTTTGTATATGGTAAATGGAAAAAGTTCTTCAAGCCGTCCGCATAAATCGAATTTGAAACACAACTTTGAAGCAAACCCCCATAATAGAATGTCATATATGTACATACATATATGTATACATATATTTTTTGCGCCAAAAACAATGAAGAGAATTTCTGAGCAAATGCACTACGAAAGAATATTTACTACTAGCCACGCTAACTAAGTTTCAAAAGTCTCACATTGTTGTCGTAAAGACTTTAAAAATCTCGAATCAAAACTCTGCAAAGATTGAAAAATCAAAAAAAAAATAGAATTTTCAAATTATTAGCATAGTTAGTCTCAAGAACATGAAGTGAAATCACAAATATTTGTTTTTCTTTCTGTCTTTATAGCAATATTTCTATAATGAAAAACTAATGCACTAAAACGTCTATAAGTTATTAATTTAAGCTGTTAAAAATAACGAAACTAAGCCATTTTACTTATTAATATAATTAAGCCATACTTAGCTGCTAGCTAATTTGCACAGTAATTCACTTGTAAACAATATAAAGAAAAATGCAACATAAAATATTTAAAGTTTATAATAATTTTTAAGTAATATTTATTTCACAAAACGCTTTTGGCAAACAACACATAGTGTGCGAGACTGTGACTGTAATTGTGTGCCTATATGCTCATGAATGCATATTTGTACATACATACATATGTATGATATATAAATAAAGTGTTTATGCAACATGTATGCGCACAGATGTGGTGTTTAAATGGGCAAAATTAACAACAATAAAATAATAATAATAATGAAATGCATATAAAACAATAACAAACACATACATGTCTTTATGTAATTGAAAAATAAAGAAAAAAAAAGCTTTAAAATTATAATTTAAAAAAAAAAACATAAATTACTTGTTAAGATACAATTTTGTAAAAATAAAACTTGTTTCTAAATTTACATTATTCGGTTGTGTATTTCATTCCTGTACTTCAACTACATTTGTATGAATGTAGATTCTATGGTAAGTATTAAATGCTTGTGTAAACGTATTTATGGCTGTTTGTCGCTTTACGTTGCAATCGCTGCAGTACCAGCTGTTGTTGCCCCTGTGGATGTAGCCGCCGTTGTTGATGACACTGCTGCCGCAGCCATGGGCGTAAGCGTTGGCATATTGGACTCTGGTGCTTCCTTGACGCTTTCCGTTGTAGCAGGCTTATTACTTTCGCTGGAACTTGTACGTTTCCGCGCTGCATTCGTACGCGCGTAATTGTCTTCGTTGAACCATTCTTTGCGTGCCTCTAGATAACTAGAAGAAAAGCATAAAAAAAAGTTGTAGTTGAAAAATCTTAAATCTTCATTGAAAATGATACTTACTTTACAAAAGTATCTAAATGTTGTAGTAGGACCTTTAACTTTTCATCACTCATTGATGATGCATTTAAAAATTCCGGCAATTTAACTGTAAAAATTTGCATATGTTATTAACTGTTTACATTATACATACAATTGTTGGGATGGCGCTTCAAACTTGACGTTTCAATCATAATTATTACTTACCAATGAGTCTCGCCAAGTGGGGAGCGCCGAAAATCATCGATGGCGCTGCTGGTGCATCAGTTGGCAGTAAATGCCAAGCTAAAACCGTCTGTAAAAACTCTTTAGTCTGTGTTGGTATATTTAACGCCATTGGTTGTAGCGATTTTAAGTAATTGATGCCCGAGGCAGCGCCACTTGCACCCGCCGCAGAATGTAGTGGAGTAGATGCACCTGAACTGGTGCTGGCAATGCTTGACAAACAATTTTCTAAACAGTTTTCCAATATTATTTCACAATCATCGCTACGATGTAAACGTGATTTACGCTTTTGTGGCTCCTCTGCGGGAGCGGATGTCGTTAAAGCAGCCTCAGCTGTAGACGTCTCTATGCAACTATCGCCGCCGGGTGGCTGTGTGGTCTCACTTTCATTTTTGGAGGGATTCAGAAAATCAGGCGAGAGACCGGGTAATGCAACATAAGTAAAATTCTTAAGATTCTCTTCGCTTAAATATGATAATGCGTATTCTTTTTCCTCTTTATATAGTAAAAAATCAGCTATAGTAAAATCGAAATAAATTCGTAAGCCGTCGGCGACTTCTTTCAGCAAGCTAACGCTGGGAATTATAAAAAAAAAAACCCCATCTTTATAATTTTCTCATTTAACTTCATTTTAATAAATTACACTTACGTTGCTACAAGTTTGTCAAACTCGTGTTCTTTTTTATTTGTACGTTGTTGAGTGGTACGCCGTCGTGTACTCTCGACTTGTGTATTTGAAAATACCAATTTGACCGCACTTTGTTTTACGAAATTCTCTAATATCGCCACCACAGGTATGCGCGCTGGCAAAGCGTGTTGCTTACAATATTTTACCACCATATCATGATCATATTCTAAATACTGACGCAACCGTTCGCTAATTCGCAGTAGCACGCGTTCTTCATCTGGGAAGCTTTCTACCGAGCTGCAGCATGACTCGCTTTCACATTCTTTAATAAGAGAATAACATGAACGCTTTAAATTTATGTCATAAATGCAGAGTGTTTGTGTACTAACCGTCCTTCATGGGGGAATCCTCTTGCCTTTCCAATGTGCTGCTTGAGCTAAAATTTTCTTCAGACGAACCGCGTGTTCGAAGTTTAGGAGAGGAACGCAGGTCTGCAACGCTTATGTTGCCTCCTGCTGTTGCGGCATCGTCAGCGGGCGCAGCTGTTTTATTTTGTTTTTTCTTGCTACTGGTACGCTCCTTACGATACAGAAAAGCATTACTAAATAGATAAAGAAATTCAAAAATTAAAATAACATAAAAATTAAACATTCATCATCATCTCACATCTGCAATTGTGCTTTTTCGGCCAAATCTCTTTGAAGTTGTCGATTTTCCTCTGTATCTTTCAATACAAAGTCAGCATTTACTTTGCGATCCCACGAACTGCTCCAGCCTTGAAAATGTATTTTATATTGTACAAGTTTACGCCCACGCTTATCCTTAGTTTCGTAAATACCTAAAATCTGTTGCGCAATTTTTTCATAGATTAATACGAAATTTATTTACTACATACTAACTTTGAAAACAATATTGTGATGAACATATAACAATTAAAAGCAACACTTATGTACATCTACACACTGCAACAACTGCATATTGTTTGCGCACCTTTGAGTCGTATAACACTTTTGCCTTTGTGGGATCGGGCTCGTAGCAGAGTACTTTTTCACCCTTTTCAAAATAACGCGTACTCGCACTACTACGATGAGAATGTCGACTTCTTTGGGCCATTTTTCGCTGCAAGAATTAGTTTATGACATATTTTCTGAATTTAAAATACTTATATTTCAATTTTTCTTAAATTATTACTATAATCAAAATATACGCAGTTGACGGAAATATGCCAAGCACAGTTATTCATGCCAAAAGTCACCTGTGTTAGAAACAGAGCTGTTATTAAACAGCCAGTTTTAATTTTTGTGGGATATAATAAATAATTTTGGAAAATATTTTTGACTGCGCCACAAATGTACATGAATTGTTGTAATGCTTGTTTTTCCCATTAAATTAATGATATATACCCTACGGCCACCATAGCATAGTAACCCAGGTACATTTCTGATATATAAATTAAAAAATTCGTCGGCCTTTCTTAGGCAACCCTGCAAGAACGGGCTGATGGCAGAGAGCGTAAATACAACGAGAAGGTTCCCTCAAACAACGTATTTACGTTCTCTGAAATAGTAGAAAGAGTACAATAATAAGAATTTTCATGCAATATAAATGTAAATGTAAATGTAATATGTTGTATTTGCGTTCTCTAATATACGTTCTTTTATAAGAGTTATGAAAATGGAGATCTGAAACGCACCAAAGAACGTAAATACAACGAAAAGGTTCAATTGCGGACCAGCGTGTAAACTGTCAAAAGCTGCAAAGTTACGATGGATGCATTTCAGCACAGGCCGCTAGAAACTAACAGAGTTTGCTATTGATGCATAACATTACTGAGCGTAGCAAAATTAAATATCCTCAGAAATGTACTAATCTGTCTGTAACTAACATTGCTTATGTGCACTTCAGATAACGAAGTTTTTGTAGGCTTGTTATCAAAATAAACGAAATTAATATTTTCAAAATATTAATATATTTTTTGAAATAGGGGTGAAAGCACGAATTTTACGTTCTCTGGCATTTCACCCCAGATTTCGATGAGCCCTGTTCACCACAGCTGAAAATGGAGATCAGAAACACACTGTCTGTGCACCTATTAATTGAGAATATCAACTCTGTAAATGAGTAATGTAAACAATCAAAAAATGAGATTGACAATGTGAAGCAAAGAAAGATAATGAAATTGATTCATAACGGACGCCAAACCAAAATAAAAAATTTGCAAGAAATAATTGTTAACCAAGTTTTAACATAATTTTACGGCATGGCTTACATTTTCTGAATGAAAATGTAAAAAAAATTATAATAATAAATAATGAACATGTATATAGGTTGTAAAAGCACGAATAATACCATGGGAACATGCTAGAAATTCAGGGGTTGTTACACGTGCGTAGAGTTTTTGTTGTAATATGAACATAAGGCCGATTTCTAGAACTTTTTCCATTCTTTTATTAAAACCTACAATACTACATATGTATTTAAGTACATATCTAGGTACATAGTCTTGGTTATACCTACATTCATATTCTTATGTACATATGTATAATTAATATAATATTGCATATATTTTTTTATGTACCAAAAAAAATTAAAATTACTTATATGTGTAATTTGATATAAAAAAAGTATATGTATGTAAATGAAATATCAATAAAAGGTTATGAACATTGATCCCATTAAAACACTTAGTACAAACATATGTATTCAAGTAAAAATAATAATTCAAGCTAATTTTCTAACGGGAGCCTCCCCACGGCAGGCTATTTCAAGCCCTCCGCCTGTATTTCTGACAAATGTATATATGACCCCTATGTATGTAAATTAAGAGATCTTTACAAAAAGTTCGAAGTTCGAAGGCGGCTTATTATAAACTATAGAGCGGGAGATAGGTCGAAAATCGCTTCAGCGGCTACAAAGTTCCAACAATTAATATACAATATCTTATATTTATATGTATGAATGTATGTACATATGTATGTAGTATGTACATATATATGTTAAATATTAACATGTATATTTTTAAATATTTTATTGACAGCATAGTAGTTGCCAAGGAGGAGTTAACAAACATACGTATGTACATACATACATGTTTATATGCTTCATATGACGTTACATAGGTTTATATTATATATACATACATACGTCCATATGTGAAATACATTGCATATGAATATGCATATGTATACTACTTAGGCATAAATTTACACAAAAGCGAAATATTACAAATATCTATAGTTTTTAGTGAATTTTGAGATAATTATGTACTTGCAAAATACGACAGAGAAAGCAAAGCACATGTAACTAAATATGTACGTACAAATATAAAATATGTATGTACATATATACATATATATGTAGATGGGCTGTGCAACATAGTTAAGAAGATTTTAGCGATTTTTATTCCTTAAATTAAAATGACGAACGGCAATATTTAAATAAATTAAAAAACTATTGATGAAGTAAAAGAATCGTATTAAAAATTATCATAAGGCTTTCCATTACAATTCTATGTTTAAATAAGCACTTCATATATTAACAAACACACGAACATATATTTACATTGAGCACACTCATCGGGTAGTCATGACAAAACCGGATCCAGAATATTCCTGTACCACTACACAGAATACAATATCAAAGTTTGAGAGTCACTGCAAATTTATACTTCCTGTGGCATCATGTAGTGGAAAGTTGCTTACAATATTTAATTACTCACTTTCTAAACTATATACAATAAATGTTGAAGATTTCGATATTTCATTGTACACTAAATTCATATTTAAGCTTGGAGCTGCTAAAAAATATACGAGTTTCATTCAGAAATTCTAAAATTGACAATATAATCCTCCTACATGATGACACAAAGTGTCACCGGATGTATGAGTAGTTTCTTCTAGAACAATCTCGTAGCTTCTACACTTTTGACATTTGGTTTTTGTGCCTCTATAAATAGGGCTGTTCGCTTGCAACCGGCATCAATTGAATTGGAAAAATACGCTTGAAAGCACTTTTGCGCGGAGCAACAAAGAAAGTGTTCTTAAACTATTATAATTGCAAGTGATTAATAAAGGAATTTTATATTTTATTCTACGAAGTTGATACATTGAAATAAAACAAGGTGTGTGTTTTAACAATTTAATTAACTCTAAAAATTTATAATAATTGAAGAAATATAATGAAAATTTATATCCAATGGAAAATCGATTGAATTTTCGTTGCAAGGTTATTTGTAAAAATTGATACTTAAACTTCCAATGAAACTAATTGTGCATAAAATGTATATATATATAATATATTTTTACAGTTACATTTCTTCAATTATATTGTGCCATTTAAAAAATTGTAATACACTTTGGCTAAATATATTAATTTTGAGTGTTTTTGTTATTTGATTTGCAGATGTCTGAAGAAGTGGAAACCTTCGCTTTCCAAGCTGAAATTGCTCAGCTTATGTCGTTGATCATCAACACATTCTACTCGAACAAAGAAATTTTTCTTCGTGAGTTGATCTCTAACGCTTCCGATGCACTCGATAAAATCCGTTACGAGTCTTTGACCGACCCCACCAAGTTGGACAGTGGCAAAGAATTGTACATTAAGCTTATTCCCAATAAAACGGCAGGCACTTTGACCATTATTGATACTGGTATTGGTATGACTAAATCAGATTTGGTCAACAATTTGGGTACAATTGCCAAGTCCGGCACTAAAGCATTCATGGAAGCATTGCAAGCTGGTGCTGATATTTCTATGATTGGTCAATTTGGTGTTGGTTTCTACTCGGCTTACTTGGTTGCTGACAAAGTTACCGTTACGTCAAAGCACAACGATGACGAACAATACATTTGGGAATCGTCGGCTGGTGGCTCGTTCACAGTTAAACCAGACAACACAGAACCATTGGGTCGTGGTACCAAGATCGTTTTGTATATCAAGGAAGATCAAACCGATTATTTAGAAGAAAGCAAAGTCAAGGAAATTGTGAACAAGCACTCTCAATTCATCGGTTACCCCATTAAGTTGTTGGTAGAAAAAGAACGCGACCAAGAAGTGAGTGATGATGAGGCTGAAGATGATAAGAAGGAGGAAGAAAAGAAAGAAATGGACACTGATGAGCCCAAGATTGAAGATGTTGGTGAGGATGAGGATGCCGACAAAGATAAGGACAAGAAGAAGAAGAAAACTGTTAAGGTGAAATACACCGAAGATGAGGAATTGAACAAAACAAAGCCCATCTGGACTCGTAACCCTGACGACATTTCTCAGGAAGAATACGGCGAATTCTACAAATCTCTCACAAATGACTGGGAAGATCATTTAGCCGTCAAGCACTTCTCCGTTGAAGGTCAATTGGAATTCCGTGCTTTGCTGTTCATCCCACGCCGCACTCCTTTCGACTTGTTCGAGAATCAAAAGAAGCGCAACAACATCAAACTGTACGTCCGCCGTGTTTTCATCATGGACAATTGCGAGGAGCTCATTCCCGAGTATCTGAACTTCATCAAGGGTGTCGTTGATTCAGAAGATTTGCCTTTGAACATTTCTCGTGAGATGTTGCAACAAAACAAAGTATTAAAGGTTATCCGAAAAAATTTGGTAAAGAAGACCATGGAATTAATTGAAGAACTCACTGAAGACAAAGAATTGTACAAGAAGTTCTACGATCAATTCGCCAAGAACTTGAAATTGGGTGTTCACGAAGACAGCAACAACCGCGCCAAACTTGCCGACTTCCTGCGCTATCCCACTTCTGCCTCTGGCGATGATGCCGCCTCTTTGGCCGATTACGTATCACGTATGAAGGAGAACCAGAAGCACATCTACTTCATCACAGGTGAATCAAAAGAACAAGTTAGCAACTCTGCCTTCGTTGAGCGAGTTAAGGCACGTGGTTTTGAAGTCATCTACATGACCGAGCCTATTGATGAATACGTTATCCAGCACTTGAAGGAATACAAGGGCAAACAGTTGACTTCTGTAACCAAGGAAGGTTTGGAGTTGCCTGAGGATGATGCCGAGAAGAAGAAGCGTGAGGAAGATAAGGCGAAGTTCGAAAACCTCTGCAAATTGATGAAATCCATTTTGGACAACAAAGTTGAGAAGGTAGTCGTTTCGAACAGATTGGTTGAGTCGCCATGTTGTATTGTCACGTCACAATTCGGTTGGTCAGCGAACATGGAACGTATAATGAAAGCCCAAGCTTTACGTGATACCTCAACTATGGGCTACATGGCTGGCAAGAAGCATTTGGAAATCAACCCTGAACATCCAATCATCGAGACACTTCGTGAAAAGGCTGATGTTGACAAGAACGATAAAGCTGTGAAAGACTTGTGCATTCTGCTCTTCGAGACAGCCCTGTTGTCATCAGGCTTCTCATTGGACAGCCCGCAAGTGCACGCCTCCCGCATTTACCGTATGATCAAACTTGGTCTTGGTATTGATGAAGAGGAGCCAATGGCTACAGAAGATACCCAGAGCGGTGGTGATGCGCCTCCATTGGTCGATGACACTGAAGATGCTTCACACATGGAAGAAGTCGATTAAGTTAATTAGTAAATAGATATAATTCCAACGTTCCAAAAATTGAATGCAAATTGTCAGCTTTTCTACGTCATAAGTTCATTTAGTTTACATAATTTTGTATTCGATTTAGCGAACATCATTAATGTGGTAATATAACAACTATGACTGCTTATGTTCAATTAATGAGTATAAAAATAGAATTTTCGTTGTCGCGTTTTAAGCGGCTTCTTATATCTCAAATCAAAGGATAACTTATGAATCGATGTATGAGTATGAGAATTTACATATAAATAAATGTTTAAATTAACTCAACTGTATGTTAAAGAGATTCTGGAGTGCTAAGAACAATTTAAAAAAATAAAATAAAAAATAAACGATATATATATCAAAACTTAAAATTAATTTGTTTTTCATGCAGTTTTGTAGAGTAAAAAGTAATATAAGATGATACAGAGGGGGAGGAGGGTGTCTCTTTCTGAAAAATTTGCGGTAAAGGTATATCAAACGATTTTGCCTTCAAAACGAAAATATACAAACAATTGATACAAGTAAAACCGAATTTTCTGGAAAGTTTCGTAGCACTAGCACCCTGCTTGTTTTTTTAAATTTTTTCATATGTGTTCCTGTTTCTTTTTAACTTAAATGAAAAACAGGCATTTTAGCTTAGCTAAACTAAAATTCCAAAAAGTTACTATGGAGAGCGGTCACCACCACCAAGAGAGCAGTAAGATGCAAGATGGTTGTCCGCATATAATGCTAGTGAGTTTAAATAGGTAGTTAATAAATTATTTGACGTTAATATAATTTCCAGTTTCACGGTGGACATTGTGAGCAAATATTGTGGAAAACTTGGACCGTTAAAACTATCTTGGAATTCACACTTTCAGCCTTTGCAGTTTTTCTAATAGCTTTTTTATATGAGGCATTGAGATTTTTGCGACAGTTTCTTGTACGTCGCGAACTTGAGCGCAGCGCTAATAAAGATAAAGAACGTACGGATGTAGTATGCAGCACAATTGCTGGACTAAAAAATAAGCAATTGTTCAAACAAATTGTTGCCCCACAGCACCTCATTCAAACTGTATTGTTCTTATTTCAAGTTACGTTATCAATGTTACTTATGCTAATATTTATGAGTTTTAATTATTGGTTGTGTTTATCAGTTATTTTGGGTTTAGCATTTGGATATTTTTTATTCGGTTGGATAAAAGATGATGCTTATGACAGTGATTGTTGCAATTAATGTTCGTACGCTGTAAAAACTTTATTCACTAAGAGTATTTACATGGTGAAATATTTCTTCAGATCTTAGTCTTAAGATTTATTAAGCTTTTTTACCATACAAAATATAATTTTATAAAATAAAACTATGTCAATATGGAGCAAAATTAAATTCTGACTATTAATTTATTTTACTTAAATGCAAAGAAATCTCTTATATACTTCTTACGTCTCACACTCTTTTTGTAGAGCAGCGGTCACATTCTCTGTGGTAGTAACACCTTTACTAATCATAACTAGTTTATTACGTGATCGCGATCCTTTGTCCAGCGATACATCACTTTTGCGTAACCCTAGTACTTTAGAGAGGTATTTCACGAGCTCTGCATTTGCTTCTCCTTCTGTCGGTGGCGCCGCTATTTGTACACCAACACCTTCACTTCCAATATCTGTTATACCATTCATTTTGGCACCAGGCTTTGCAAGTATGCGTATACATATATTGCCGCTTTTATCAGTTTGTACTGGACCATCATTTGATGCTTTTTCACTCAGAACCGTGGTGGACGTGGACTTTTTGCTTTTATTTTTGGACATTACACTTGAAAATGTATTTAAGGAGCGGCGCATCAACCCAGCGTAATTTTGTTACCTTTCCAAATTATAAATAAATCAGCTGTTGGTTTGTTTACTGGAAAATAGTCTTGTTCGGTGAGCTGATGGCAGTAACAACTGTTATTAATTTTTGCTGTGCCGCGTTCGGTGAGGCAAAAAACCAGTACCATTTGAAACGACTTACTGACATTTCTCACCGAACAGAGCTAATGTCATTACTCAACTAATTATCGATTTATCGCTTCTCTTTACTAGGTATATCGATAAACGTGTAATGAACATTTATTTAAATGTAGAGAAGTTGCTACATTAAAATTTATTTATTGATTTTGTTTTATTAAGTCATGTTATGAATAAAGACGATAATTTTTAAAGACATAAAGAAAAGGTTTACTTTAAAAGATTTTTGCGTTTTTATTGAAAAATAGCTATATTTGTATTAAATTTTACTTTTTATTATTAGACCATTTCGCGAAATAGCCTTAACAGCAAAAATATGTTAAACGTATTATTATTTACCTCAACTTGGATGATAAAAAAAAACTTTTTTAACTTTTACAAGTAAAAAATTAATATATTTATAATTTTTTATACAAAATTACGTAAATCAATAAAGTTACATCTTAAATCTCGAGCAGGCTACAGATAGACATTTAGTTGTACAGTATTTGTTGCTCAAACAAGAAAAAAAAATAAACCAATCACAAATATCACCAAAGAGGAATGCTTTCGAAAATAAATTCCAACGCTAAATGATTGATAACATATTGTCATGCTTATATTAAACAATGAATTCGATCTTTCAATAATAAGGAGTTCCTTCATAAACCAGAAACATTTCTGACTTTAAGCGAGTGAAATATAAAATATTTTTTGCAATTGGCTATTTTTTTAACTTTGGCAATAATAAATGATTGGATTTCGGAAGATTATTAATTGTATATATAAAATTAAAGAACTTAATTTAGCTGGGTATGACTTTTACGCTGCTCGGATCGACTGTATTATTTGGAAAATAGCAGAACCGCAAACCACGAAAATGAACAACGCCAAAAGCCAAGGTCCAACAGGGTATTGGTTATCTTTGGATTTCTGTAAAGATAAAGGTTTTTAAATTTTCTTACTAAAAATAGGGGTATAATTAATTTTAAAAGATTATCTCACTACAAGCTACGGTTTTGCCTGCCGCAAGTAAGCTTGTATTGATATTCGTAAACATCCATACACAACAACAAAAACTGCGATAAGAAAACATCTCAAGACGCAGAACGGCGGCGTGGCACTTTCACCTGTTTTGTTTGTTTTAATGGTTACTTCTAGAACTCGAAATGCGTTATGTTTCAAATGAAAACCTCTATTATGCAAAATTGTTATTTACAATAAATTATTACTTTAAAAGAATTAATAAATCAAACAATTTCTTCAGATTAAACTAATTCAGAGAAAAAATAGCAAAATATCTTAATCAGATAACCTGTTTTTACTTACCGAAGATTTTGGTACGTTGCCTCGCATAGTCACGTATTTGCTAGCCTTTTCATTGGCGACACGCATCCTTTGTGGTGGGGCCATCTTTTTAAGACTGTAAGTTTTGCTTTAAAAAAAAGACAAAACAAAAATATAAATACCAATAAGTTTTCTACAAATAGCACTTCGAAGCTGTGAGTAAGTGATAAACACAATTCAAAGTAACCAAAAATATGATAAAATAAGTTTGCTGAGCATATGTAAATTTCTTTAAGCTAATTTTCAACTCATTTGCGAATATAAAATTCCTTTAAATTACTAAGCTGCAAGCAAATTTCCAGAAATTAAACTCAAATTACCTTTTGGGTTTGGAAAAACAAAATGCACACGTCGAGAGCGACACACGAAAACGACACGTATGAGAAGCCGAGCCGAGGTTTTGACAGTTAACAGTGCTGCCCACAACACAGTAACGAAGTTGCAATTTTAGTAGTATCGTGGTTGTTGCCAGCTTTTATCATTAAATATTTCCTTTGAACATTTTCTCAAAATCAAGACAATTTTTTGAAAATTTTTTCCTATGTACAGAAAAAGCCTAGTTATCCCAAAAAAGTTAAATACTCGTATAATGTAATTATAATCTCTTTACTTTGACATTTCCCATTAAGAAATTTGCAATAGTAAAAAATTAACAAATATCTATATTGTCGAATATGCGTATGTATGTTTATGACGGCCGCAATAGCAAAGTTGTGAGCCGAAAATTTATTTAAATAATATAAATAAATAATAAGGTTAAATGTTCTAATTGCGGTGGCCTCTCAACAGTAAATGTCACCCCCTCTACATATTAACGTATAACAACCTAGCAAGCTAGATGCATTTGGTCCACAGTGAATGCAATCCACGATTTTTTATTTTAGAGAATAATATCGATTCCCTCAATTATTATTCTATGCAATTTACATATTAAGTTATACATTCGTATGTTTCAAAATAAATTTATAATTAATAACAATAAATCTATTTGGTGCGGAGGGCGAGAGCGCTTAAATCAGCGATGCACTTATCAAGAGTCTCTTTTTCTTGTTGAGGAGTGATGGAACCAAGCACATTGTTTACGATCCAGTTCACCATGTGTTTTTGGTTAATACGACGTTCAATGTGACGGCACTCCACTTGGTAATCCAAACGACGTTTGACCTGTACAAAGTTATATGAAATAGTACAGTGATTCTTTGCGAACTTAAGGAAAGTGTAGAAATATATGCACCTCAGTGTAGACATTCATAGCGCGTTCACGGAATGCGGCTTCCAATTGCAATGCAATGTTCTCTTTCTTAGCATCCATAAGCAACAAAGCACCTTCAGCGCGCCATTGTTCTTTCTTTTCCGCTTCGATGGCATCAGAAAGGTTTTGCAATTCTTCCTCGCGTCCACTCTTCCATTCATTTTCGATTTTCTAAAACATTAGGGAGAAGACTCTTATATTTAAGAAATTTAATTCATATTTTTTTTTATAAAACCTACGTCGATTTCCTTATCTGTCCAAGCAGCGATAGTTGGGCCAAGTTTCTTGACTGCAACAATAGCCATGATGGCCAGGGATAAGCCACTGTAGTACTCGTGCTCCATGACGTAAATTTCCTTGGAGCAAAGGTAAGTTAGCAAGCCAACACCAAAAGTGTATGGACCGGTGACACCAGTCTTATTGTAGAAAAACTGAAACCACTCTTCTGGAATGAAGCCCAAACGCACCTTTCCAGGATGCTCTGGTCGCTCGCGACGAGCAACTTGATCACCTGATCCGGCTGCGCTGGCCGATCTCATAGCCAGAACGCCCAATGGACGTTGAACTGAAATTAGCAATAAAAAATTACATGCAGAAATTAGCCAAATCACATTTTGCTATGAGTTTTTGCAAATACAAATTTTTGACATTTGCCTCTCCTGCGATTACATAAACTATGATGACAAAAAATTAGTCGCGTAACACTATATTCAACCGAAGACTTATTTTACTAATTTTAGCAAACAAGAAATCCCTCAGTAATTATTCCAATCAGAAAAGTTTTTATTTCTATATTTACCTGAAAGCAAAGCGGTCCTGGACAACATTTTTTAATTTCAATATTATCTCTTTTAGAGGAAAAATCGACAAAATGAGTTCTGCACAGCCCACTAATGTCAGCTTAACTGTCAATTGACAAAAGTTCTTCCTCTTCTTTTGGAACATACACTGTAAAAATAAATATATATTTTTTGGACCTCTTGGTACATCGCTAAAGCTTATTTGATTTGATGTGAATTTGGCAAGATCATTAATAAATACGTACTGAAATAGTAAGAAGTTTAGGGCTTAAAGTGCAACATAAAAGTTACATTAGTAAATTGATGAAATTCCGCTTTGGGAATTAAATAGTGCAACCTTGTACCATTCTTCCACGAACGCTGCCACAAAGCATAACAATCAGTCTTTCCAATAAATTAACATCAGGTGCAAATACAAAAACAAAACCTGAATCCTTATGTATTTCTCAGGGTATGTAGCTGTTTATTGTCTTTCAATATATTTCTCATTCATACGTATTTGTTAATTAAATATAAAATAAAGTGAAATGTACAATAATGCATTGAAAACTGGGTGTCGGACTGCAATGCACGCATGGAAGTTCAAAAACGGTAATCGGTTTTACTATTTATAATTTCAGAAGATAAGCAGTTCGCCAAATTCTGCTTGGCATATATTTGTAGTGATAGTGTAATATCGCAAATAGAAATCTTGTGCTTTAAAGGTTATTGAACTGATGGATATTTTTGATAAATATTATTTTGCTAAGAACGTTTATAAAATTATTATTTTTAGAGTTGGGTAGACTACGTATTGACTTGGCAAAAGCAAATACCGAGTTCACACAACATTTACTGAAAGGTAATAAGTTTTTGCAGTGTTGCTTTGAGTTTTATTAACAAGCTTTTACCAGAAGCCTAATAAAGCGCCGCTTCAATTAACGAGTCTAATAAATATTTCAAAATAAAACCGTGCTATACAGTGCTACAATAAAAAGTAGTCTAATCGCATATTGGAAGGTTTCCAATATTCAAAAAACGTTTACAAAACATACTGCCATTCCAGACACGACCACGTTATTATTTTACAGCTGGTAGCACTAATCAACTAACATTTCTTGTTTTCCTTTGCATGCCATTCCAGCTGTCAGTTGCAATAGTCCCGTTAACTCGACGCGATTCATCAGAAAACACCGCATAAAATTAATTTTTGTACGGCAACAAATACCGGAGACTCAATTACAATCACAACAACAATTTTCTGTTAAATTTACAACTGCGTTAAGTTCAGGCTCGTGCTTAAATTATTGTTATCGCGAATTAACTGCAATTGCTATTGCTCAAATCGCTTCAAACCAATCCCAACTACCTTCTTTTTTTGTGTTTCGGAAAATAAATTGTGCCCCATCATCATCACTTCAAAGTTCTTTTTGTATAGAAAATTGTCATTTGACTGAACATCTGGATAGTGCAATATCTTCAAAGCAGTACGTAAAACAACAAAAACAATTCTTTCGGGATTATTCCTCACTAAATACATCTTTTGGTGCACCATTTAAGTATACAGAAGCGCCGCTTTTAGGTGACCTCTGCCAAAAGTACGGCTTTATCGTTTCACGTACTTCCGCCGACGTCGGTCTTAACTACGTTGCAGGTCAAAGGCTTGAATTTCGCAGAAATATGTCAACATCACCACAGAAGGAGTTTCAGCGCCTTCCAACCAATGTTGTGCCAACGCACTATGATTTAGAGTTGAAGCCGAACTTGGAGGCTTTCACTTTCGAGGGCAAAACTAGCGTGCACATAAAAGTAAGTGTAATATGTGTATATTTTTTTTACGATTTTTTAATACAATTTAGGCTATGTATATTCGTATACATATGTGTGTACTCTATGCTAATCAATGTGAGTAGAGGCGGGCAAATGCATACATCTATATATATGTACATATATGAGTGAGAATAACGAATGGATATTTTTACTTTCACTTCTTCCGCATGGAATGTAAGAAAGAAGGCAAAAAAAACAATCATTTGGACTTTTTGTACGACGGTAGGAGCTTATGTTAAGAAAGACAAAGGAATATAAAACTTTTCCGCATTTTTTGCTTATAATATAAATATGTATACATATAGGTAGTACATATTGATATGCCTATTTATACATACATGCATATATCTTCATTATATGTACGTGTTCAAATGATTTGTTCATTCAAAAGATTTGTTCAAATTGACAAAGAATGCTAATTGCTTTAGCTAAATTTGTCTATATACATACATACATATGAATGAACGTCAATGTACATGCTAGAGATTTATAATATTCTTTTAGATAAGGAACAGTCCTAATCAAACCGATAACAGGAATGCATTATACACACACTTATATTTATAAGTAGTTACAAGTAGTGAATATGTGAAATAATATTTGCTTATGCTATTTATTAATACATTTTATCCTTTATAGATATGTGACGCTACTAAAAGTATTACACTCAATGCATTGGACATCACTTTAGGCAAAGTTGAATTGGACATAAATGGCGAAATTCTACAACCAAGTAATATTTCATATTCCACCGATAATGAGACTGCGACTTTGACTTTCGCTCAGGAACTTCCAGCTGACGCCAGCGGAGTTTTGAATATTTCTTTCGCTGGAGAACTTAATGATAAAATGAAAGGATTCTACCGTAGCAAGTATTTTACGCCTGGCGGTGAGGAACGCTACGCTGGTGTAACTCAATTTGAAGCCACCGATGCTAGACGATGCTTCCCGTGTTGGGACGAACCAGCTATTAAAGCTACTTTTGATATTACGTTAGTTGTACCACAAGACCGAGTAGCACTTTCTAATATGCCTGAAGTGCAAGAAGAGAATATAGAAAATAATTTGCGTCGCATACGTTTTGATAGGACACCAATTATGTCAACATACCTTGTGGCTGTTGTAGTTGGTGAATATGATCATGTTGAAGGTAAATCCGAAGATGGCGTAATTGTACGTGTATTTACGCCCATTGGCAAAAAAGAACAAGGTCTCTTCGCACTTGAAGTGGCCACCAAAGTGTTGCCTTATTATAAGAGCTACTTCAACATTGCTTATCCGTTACCTAAAATGGATTTAATTGCGATATCCGACTTCTCGGCTGGAGCGATGGAGAACTGGGGTCTTGTGACATATCGTGAAACGTTTGTACTGGTCGATCCCAAAAATACATCTCTTATGCGTAAGCAATCTATTGCCTTAACTGTCGGGCATGAGATAGCGCATCAGTGGTTCGGTAAGTGTTGTTTATTAACCCAATAAATATTTATTAAATAAAAGATTTATAGGACCGTCTGTGTAGACAACTAATATTTACTAAAAAAAAATTGCAGGCAATCTTGTTACCATGGAATGGTGGACCCATTTATGGTTAAATGAAGGCTACGCTTCGTTTGTCGAATTTCTTTGTGTCAATCACTTGTTTCCGGAATATGATATTTGGACACAATTCGTTACTGATATGTACACTCGTGCATTAGAATTGGACTCTTTGAAGAACTCCCATCCCATTGAAGTGCCAGTCGGGCATCCATGTGAAATTGATGAGATTTTCGATGAAATTAGTTACAACAAAGGCGCCTCTGTCATACGCATGCTTCATGACTACATTGGCGAGAAGGATTTCCGTAAGGGAATGAATATTTATCTAACCCGCCATCAATACAAGAATACATTTACGGAAGATTTATGGGCTGCTTTGCAAGAGGCAAGCTCGAAACCAGTTGCTAAAGTCATGTCCACATGGATTAAATTGAAAGGTTTTCCTGTTGTAAGTGTAGAATCCATACAAAAAGGTGATAACCAAAGAGTTTTAAAATTGACCCAAAATAAATTCACTGCTGATGGTTCAGCCCCGGACGGTGATTACACATGGGTGATTCCAGTAAATATTTCAACATCACGTGATCCGAACAAGATCGCAAAAACATTTTTGCTGGACCAAAAATCTATGGAAGTTGTGTTGGATGATGTAAGCGCCGATGATTGGGTCAAAATTAATCCGGGTACAGTTGGATTTTATCGCACAAGGTACTCAAAAGAAATGCTTGAGAAATTGTTACCTGCGGTGCGTGATATGGTTTTACCTCCCCTTGATCGTTTGGGATTGATTGATGATATGTTTGCTATGGTACAAGCGGGTCAAGCAAGTACTGCCGAAGTATTGAAGCTTATCGACTCATATCGCAATGAAACCAATTACACCGTATGGACTGCTATTACCAATTCTCTAGCCAATCTTCACATTTTGATTTCTCACACCGACCTGATGGAGCATTTCAATCGTTATGGTGAAAAGTTATATCGGCCAGTGGCTGAAAGCTTAGGCTGGGAAGTGCGTAAGGGGGAGAATCATTTGGATACCTTATTGCGTAGCTTGGTTTTGTCACGCTTAGTGTCATTCCGTTCTAAGGATGTTATAGCAGAAGCACAGACACGGTATGTAAACATGGATTCATAATTATTTGATTTTTTTTTTAAATTTTCTTTTACAATGTTTATACTATTAGGTTTCATGCGCATGCTGACGGTTCAAATCCGATACCAGCTGACTTGCGTTCCGCATGTTACAAAGCAGTTTTGCAAGATGGTGATGAAAAGATCTTTAACGAAATGTTACAATTGTATCGTACTACCGATCTACATGAAGAGCAGGATCGCATTTCGCGTGCATTGGGTTGTATTGGCAATGTGGATTTACTGCGCAAAGTTATAGATTTCGCCATGTCGGTTAGTGGAGCAGTCTTTGATGTGTATCAGGCCTAAAATTAGTATTTATTTTATTTTTTTTTCTTCCAATTTTTAGGGAGAAGTTCGTGCACAGGACTCAGTGTTCGTCATCGTGGCTGTCGCGGTTAATCCTAAAGGACGTGACATGGCTTGGGAGTTCTTTAAAGACAATAATCAAAAATTATTGCAACAATATCAAGTAAGAACCAATTATATTCATAAAATATTTTCTATAGACAGAAATTCTAAATTACTACAACTTTTTTCACAGGGAAGTTTTCTCTTGACACGCCTTATCAAGTATCTTATTGAAAATTTTGCTTCAGAAGAACGCGCTGTAGAGGTAGAAAATTATTTTAAGCAAAATCAATTCCCCGGTACAGAACGAACTGTGTCACAAGCCGTGGAGACCATTCGCCTTAACGCTAATTGGCTAAAGCGTGATCTAGATTCGTTGACAAGTTATTTGAAGAGTCAGTAAGGGAGCTATACAAATGCATTTATATGCCTAACTTTATCAAAAGCAAAAAAAAAAAAAATATATATATGTATACATATACATATATATATAAAAATAGTGAAAGAGGTAATGTACGGATGAAAGAAAAATCAGCTGTAGTCGCAGCACAATAAGCCAAAGCTCATCACAACACCAACACATACAAAGCAAGAATGAAATTGACCGATTGGCAAAGCTGTTTATTATATGTTAATTCAATAATTGTACGATATACATGCTTAAATAATTTGAAATGTATACATAGAAAAATATTTGAATGAGATTTTGCTTGGATTTTGTTGACAATTAAATGCAACTTTGCGATAATCAACGCTTGATTATCACTTATGTGTGTTACAGTGTCACTAAATTAATTTGTTCAGCCAAGTATTTTTTTTGTTTATTATTTTTAACTCAGCAAATTAAAAAAAATAGTGATTTATACACACACATATATATCTGTGTAATATGTTAATATATTTTATTTAAATTGGTTTGACAGCTAAAATGTATTAATTTTCTATTGAATTCAGCCGTTACTTTATTTTAAGTAATTTGATTTTGTTATCCAGTGCATATCTATGTAGATTAGCCTGTTCAAATACTGTTCTTTAATTGGATGAAATATATTGTAAAACCATAAATGAATTAGCATTTTTAAAATAAATACTTAATGTTGATTCTGTGCTTATCAATTTCATAAAATAAAAATATTAAAAGAGTAAGATCGAGTTAAAACAAAATTTCCGAGGATAGGATTTAAAAATCTTGAATGACAACTTAGATGATGGACTGAGAAAATAAAAAAACGAAAACACTGGCAGTAGAAAGTAGAATTTTTCCCCCTTATGTGGTCATTTTGATGCGTTTGGGAAGACGATTTGAAACAGATTTTCTTTTGCTTTACAAATTATGCATATAAAATCTATTTCGAATTATTTACAATAATAATAGATAAAATAGTAATTTTTAATAAAAATTCAATACATATTTCTTTTAATAAAACTATATACTTATTTGTGGTTTTAAAATCATTTAATACATATAAACGTACATCGGAATGTAATATTAAAATAGTATTTAATTATTTCCAATTTCTAACCTCTAAAAATTTACTCAAATCTTGTTTTACACGGTCAAGGACAATAGCTGCTGCTCGAGAGCCCATTTTCTGGTCTATGTAGATCATCGATTAATTCCAACATCCGCCTCTTGAATAAACGTTGCTTGTGTCGGGGAAGTGATAATATATCATCGATGTTGCCACGGAAAAAGGCGAGTAGTTGCTCCTCATCGCGGTTATCGCATTCGTTACGATTTGCATTGGGATTGAATAATTCCCCGCTTTTGGTATTATTTCCGATTTCACACTGTGTGCCACCAGATGGAACTGCCATGGGTGTTGAATGTTTTACTTGCTCCTCTTTTTCCTCGTCGATTTTCATTGGAGGAGGTGGAGATAGTTGATCCATTTTCAGTGCTAGTGCCGCTTCTGATTGTCTTGTTGAGGGCTTCGTCGATGAAGTAGCGGATAGTTGTAGTTCATTTAATACGTCTGGGTATGTGGAGATATTACTTTGATTTGTATCATTGATATTGGTATAGTGCTTTGAATCTTTATTTCCCGAAATTGCTTGTATTGTGCTAGCATCCACATTATCTCCGCTGGGATCGTCAATTGAATTTCTTGATTTGGCACTACGAGAAAGTTTTTGCTTCTTTTTTACTTGTCCAGTGCTTTCCGTTGCTTGTAAAAGGAATTTCATTTCATCAAACAAGTAGAAGCGTTTACGACGTGGAGTAGGCAAATCTTCGGAACCATCGCCATTATCGCAAAGAATATTCGTATTGTATTGAATGCTACGCAAGAAACCAGTGCGTACATTACGCCACTTTTCACGGCAAAAATTTTCTGTAAGAACAATTAAAATTAGTTTTAATCTTTTATAAATCACATCAATTCATCACATCGACTTATTGCTATATGACCACGTCGCTTGACATATCCATGCAGATCAAGCTACTTACGTACGAGTGTACTTACCTGGCTTTCCAATATCAACCGATATTTCTTGCCAAGCCTTTTCTAGTTTATCACGCTTTGCATATTCTGCTGAATGTATATTCCACAAGCAATCACGTTTTTTCACCCCATTTATTATTTTTAGAATAAGTTCAGTATCAGCCATTTTAAACTTTAATTAAAATTACACACAAGCAATAACTTCCGTCAATGATGTGATGCGATCTGATGCTATTTTTTTTATCGTTTGCCAAGTGTCACATCGCAATACGATTTTGACGTATTGTCCCTCAAAAGGCGTACATGGTTTCGCGCTCAAAATGAAAGTTTAAAAATGTCTGCGGCAGCAAAGACAGCGAACACACCTATAAGTACTTGAAGACTCTTATCAGAATCAGCTGTTTTTGACAGTTTCGCTTGTGCATATGTAAATTTGATAAATTTTTCCAACGCATATACAAAAGTTTCGTTGTGGTAATTGATAAAGGATTCTTATAATAAAAATGTTTATGGTAGCAGAAAGTTAAGATTTATCACAAATACATTATTACTCAAAATGAAGCACTACAAGTTAAATACGCATCAAAAGTCTTACAGTGGTAAGTAATGGAAATACACATTCTTTGGTGTCTCACTCAGCCTGGCCTATGGGTATTTTTTATTCCAGATGCTGATTTGCTGATTAATCAGAAGGAACATCCTGATACAAAAATAGGCGACGTAGTCGAGGTATATGATCGCGAAGATGAAAATACTCGCCTTTTGCTGCAGATCACGAAATTCAATGATCTTCGTCGTGATGAGATTAGCATTGAAGCAGGCATTGCGACACAGTTCAACTTACGAAAGTTTGCTTATGTTTTTATGCGTCGTGTGAATGCCAGCGATGTAGCGCTTGATTCCATTGAGATTACTTTTAAAGATCAATATATGGGCAGATCGGAAATGTGGCGCTTGAAAACTTATTTGGTAAGTAGAAACTGTGTACTTTTTTGCTATGTCATATGAACATTTACATACAAATTTATTTAATACAATTAATTAATTAATTGTTGTTTTGTGTACATTAACATTGTACGTACAATTGTAATTATACAATTACATATCTGTGAATATGTCATTGTGTAAATTTGTTATCCATTAAAGTATAACTCAATAAATAATTAATTGAAATTTTCAGACCGACACTTGCGTTTATATTAACAAAAAAATCGAAAATAATGAAATGCAAATTCGTTGCCAAGTTTATGAGATGTGGGCACAAGGCGAGCGTGTATCCTGTGGAGTGATAACAGAAGACACAAAAATCGTTTTTCGCAGCAGTACTTCAATGGTCTATTTGTTTTTACAAATGTCATCGGAAATGTGGGATTTCGATATACATGGCGATTTGTATTTCGAAAAGGCTGTTAATGGTTTCCTTACAGAACTCTTTCATAAATGGAAGAAATTAGGTTGTAATCATGAAGTCACTGTAGTATTGTTCTCTCGCACATTCTACGCTGCCAAATCACTCGATGAGTTTCCCGACCATATGCGCGACTGTCTACAATTGGATTACAAAGGACGTTATTATGAAGATTTTTATCGTGTCGCCATACAAAATGAGCGCAATGAAGATTGGTGTACAGTACTAACGCAGTTACGCAAACTTTTTACTTCATATGAATCCACAGTGTTGCGTTATCACGAACGTGAGGGTGTACAAATTCCCGCAGCAACTAATTCTACAGCCGCTCAAGGTAACTTCCTAGAAGTACTGAATATTTCATTAAACACTTTCGAAAAGCATTATCTCGACCGTACGTTTGATCGTACTGGCCAATTGTCAGTTGTGATCACACCTGGTGTTGGTGTGTTCGAAGTGGATCGAGAATTGACGAATATTACGAAACAACGGGTAAATTTGAAATTCTCCGTTTTTATTTATGCTATAATTTCCATTTTTGTTTATGTTTCTGCTCACTTTTGCAGATAATTGATAATGGTGTTGGCAGTGATTTAGTGTGCGTAGGGGAGCAGCCGTTACATGCCGTGCCGCTTTTAAAATTTCACAACAAGGATACAACAGTAACCTCTGCAGATGATTATTCACTTCCACATTGGATTAATCTAAGTTTTTATTCAACTAATAAGAAAGTGGCTTACTCGAATTTCATACCACGTATCAAACTGCCACCGATCGTCGCTAATGTCACTCTAAATGAGGAAAATAGAGTAAGTAAAATTTATATTGATTGCTTAATGATCAATTGAAATAGAAATATTCGATTAGCGCATTCAATATTTTAATTAATTTTATATTAAAGGAGAGTGAAAAATATTTTCTCAGCTGCAATCAATCCGAGTATATACATAATTCTTTATTTGATTATGATGCGTATGATGAGCAAATATTTCAACCTCCACCAGCGCAGAGCACTTGGCAAGTATTGTTTATATTTATATATACATATACGTAATTTCGGAATGTAGCTCTTTGCAGCGCGTTGTTCGTGCCAAGAAGACATCTGTACCGAGCCTGGAGACGTCCGCTTACCGAAACCATGACTGGGAAAATTTAACACCAACAAAAATACCCAATTTGCGGCGTAAAATGTCTGATCCTGATATATATCATGGTACTTCAGGCATGCTAGCGGCATTGGTAGATAAGCACTTACATATATATATTTATATGCATAAGTTTATATTTGAATCATTTATTTATTTTTTTGGTAGACTGATACGCCCAATTTGTCTGAGTCATTAGCCTCTGACAAGAATGCGCGTCGTTCCATTGTATCCATAGCACCTATAGTTCGCCCAGGGCGGGCATTGATTAATCCTTTTGATCCGTCCCATGTTACAATCAAGCTCACCTCAAACCGTCGTCGTTGGACGCATATATTTCCAAAGGTAAGTATTTCAAAGCCAAATAGATGTACATACTTTGCAATTATTGAGAAATTCATAATACCTAAAACTGCTGGTTGCTTTTGGAAGTAGCGCACAGAGAAATGAGTTAATAACTTGCAAAAAGAAAAAAAATTGTTAATAACCATAAAACGTGTTTTAAGGGTCCGACTGGAGTTTTAATTCAACAACATCATTATCAAGCTGTTCCTGCCAAACCGCAGAATCTGAACTATGGTAATGTTGCAAATAGCGAAAATGAGTATAGTTCAGGATATAGCGCAATCGATTATGATCACACATCAACCTGCTCTTCATTAAACAAATCATTTATAGCAAACAACGAATGCGACAAAACCGATTGTAAGCACCATTTGGCAATTAAAAACAGAATGATTAGTTTTTTGGTAATGAAACATAAATACTTACTTCCTTACAGTTGCCAAAAAACGTAATAATTCACTTTTGAATGCCACCACGAATAATGTGACAACTGGCGTAGTGGCACCCACAAAAAGTTTTTTATGGGGCGCCACCGGTGAACAAGAATGGACGCCAGCTTTAACAACAGGTATGTCCTTAGAGTACTATGCTTTTGGTAAAAAATTATTACAATATTGAAGAGTAAAAAAAAATACAAACATATATAAAGGCAAATGCAAATATTTTTTGTTGCTTGATATGTTATTTTTTATTATAATATTTCTTTGTTAAACACTTAAAATAATGTGTTCTATGTCTTATACAAAGGAAAATATATTGTTTATTTAGTAATAAATTATAATTTATTTCTTTAGTTGATTTTTCTGTGCGTGAACTAAAAATGTGTTTGATTCATTTTTTTTAGCTGTGTTGCTTTGATTTTGATAATTTTGTCTTTTATTTCTTATGCCCAGCGATTTTATTAATAGCTCAGTCTATTAAATAAATGCGTATTTTATGTTCATATACGCCTATATTAATGTGTGAGCTACAGTTTTGTTTTTTTCCTTATATATTGAATATGCTAGCATTTAAGTTCTTAAAAAATTTTTATACGAATCAACGATACTTTTAATTAAAGCTTTAAAAATATTTTTCCAAAAAAATCAGGAGTCGATTACATTAAGAGTTTTTTATTAAGCTAAATATTTATAAATTTTAGTAGAATTAAGTTATTTTACACGACATATGTGAGAACATAAGAATATAATGAATACTTACTTTAGGCTAAAATATAAATTTGTTAAATAGTTAAAAAAAAGTTGGGATGCATTTTAGTTTCTTTTAGTTTTCAGAGAAGATATTTCAAGGAAATCTTTAAAATTGGTTATTTGAAATTTATTATTGCACATTTTTTTCAGTAAAATGTGTACTCATGCATTGTGAAGACCTACTCGAATGCCTTTTACTAAGGCTACCACTAATTCTCATTGTAATTGTTTTCATTAAGATTAAACAACGTCATCGTATGGTATCTACGATTTTTTTAGACTCTCCTGCATAATAATATCAATGAAATTCATTTAAAAACATATATCGATAGCTGAACATTTGATTGCATTGCATTTTAGAAAATGAGTATATATATTAAATTTTATATTTATAACTATGCATATGTTATATTTATATAATAAATAATTTATGTGAATTTATTATGAACATGTTTTAAATGTTGAAAAATACTAATATATATAATATTATTTTTTCTCATTTCTTATCCTTTCCATATAATATAATGTTTCAAAATAAATTGTGTAAACGTCCATAAAAAAAAACAATAATAATAATAATCTGAAAATTGCCCCAATTAACACTAATTTGCTCGCCTAATGAAAACACCGTTACAAATATACCAAAAAAAAAAAACAACACCAAAATTGATTGCATAATTGTTTGGTTCTCAAAAAATCCTATCTACTGCCATACAAATCAATGAAATTACAAATGTAAATGAGAAGGAAAACACTTAAATCCCATTGTTGAAAGTGAAGCGCCATTTATAAGTGAGAGCGCAAACGCAGACGGCCGTGGAAAAGTAATAATAGGTTTGCAAAACACTCAAATACAAATTACTTAATTTTTTTTAAAGTAATATTTTAACATTTTGCACTTTATTCTTCTGAAGCTTTGCTTAAATTTCAACAATAAACAGCAAATAATAATAATAAAATATACAGCATAATTCAAGCAATTTGTGCGTGTATTGTGAAAAGCATGCGCAAAGCTATTTATAACATAATTAATAATTGTTAAAGTGAATAACAAAAAATTTTAGCAGAATGCACGAACACGCAATAAAGCTTGGCTTACACTGTATTATAAATATATTATTGTAATTTGTCGTGAATTGCACAAAGTAGTTGATTACTTTTTCCGTAGCAAAGCACATTTACTTAATGTATTTAATTTACGTAGTATATATGTTTATAAGAGTTTGGGTAGAAGTATTTTTATAAGCTTTGAATTGGTAATCTATTATTAGATAATTTATTTATATAGCAATTGGCATGCATGCGTGTATGTATGTATGTTTGACTACATGTATGTACATTAGGGTGATGGAAAATTAGCCAAATGGAATTTTTTCATTCACTCGCGCACTAATTGGCAAATGTTTATAAGCTAAATGATGTCAATGGAATTTTTGTATTTATTAAAAAGCAAACATTTTGCAAAAATCCTAAAAAACAAGTTCCTTACGTTCATGAAGGGCACAATTAAAAAATTCCCTCAGCGGTTATAAGGCATTATTATATGTATAATGTAATGTAATTAATTAAAAAGGATTTTTTTCTTCTTATTTGCAATTAAAAATTTGTAGATAAAACCTAAAAACATGTTTAAACAGACATAGAATGGCTAAGAAAAAAATTTGTTTGTATTAAACTAACGATAAAATTATTTTTATGTTTTTTTGTTTTTTTTTTTGTCAAACTCTGTAATTTTTACTGAGCAATTTTTCTAAATCGATTTCAAAATTGGAAACTATTAAATGCTTAATTTTTTTCATCTTCTCTTAGAGAGTCCGCGAAAGAAAATTAGACAAAGCGGAGTTGACCCATTCCCTTGTACATACCATAAATACATACATATATTTTGCATATATGCACATGTGTGTGTAGTAATTGCATATATTGTATAAAACATATATAGACACTGTTTGCATATATTTGCATGTTGGTGGCCCTTAAATTGTTTCGACACATTAGTACATATACATATGTATGTATATGCATTTCTAGCATATGCTTTTTGTCATACACATAAAAATAACATGTAGTTCAATACGTATTGTATAAATTGAATACCAATTATTTGTTGCATATAATTTTAGTAGGAACATTTGTAATCATCTACACACATACACTTAAGGCAGTGAGCTTGCTCCAATTGCACCACAAATGCACAGACATGTACGAGTATATACACATGTGATTTGCACTGTTCGTTTTATAGTAATTTATTTATTTATTTATTTTTTTTTAATATAAACACGATATTTAAACTTCTCATACAACACTAAGGTTTACATACAAACATACAAATATATTTTATTCCCGAAACTATCGCACGCTGATTTGGTACATCCATGCACCCAATATACATACATATAATATAATTTTTACAACGCGTCTATTACATATTTACGTTCCATTCCCATCGGCGAAGGTGTTTATAATTATTTAAAATTGCTTTAAAAAGGAAATATCTCTTCGCTTCGTGTTTTAAATTGCACCGACGTTTTGAGTTAAAAAAACACACATATACACACATATATATACATATGTATACAATTTTGTACATAAATAAATATATATGCATATGCACACATATATCTATATACATATGTATACACTTTTGTACATAAACAAATATATATGCATATGCATATACTATTAGTATTTATTTCAAATTCAGTTTGAATTGAAAATTCAGCACAAACTTATCCTTCTATAGGAGTTGGCTTTTCTCGTTCTTGTTCTATTGTACAATTAAAAATATATTTCACTTACAAAAAAAAAAAAACAAAAAAAACACAAAATAAAAAATCTAGTTTTTTTTAATATATTTTTCTATGTTTTCCTACTTTTTTACTGTGTTGTTGATTTTCTGTACACTGTGTAACCAACCTTGCTAGTAATATTATAAATAACAATATTTTGCTTACGCTTATAATAAATTACTTACACTAACAACATTATATATGTGCGTTCTTCTGCCAACCACAATTTTAGGCGTGGATTGGAAATCGTTAACCATACCAGCTTGTTTGCCAATCACAACCGATTATTTCCCAGATAAACGTTCTCTACACAATGATTACGTTATATCTGATTATACATTGCTGCCGGATGATGTCAATATTGATTATGCCAATAGTCGTGCGGTATATCGTAAACCACTTTCAACGGAAGAGGTCTTCCGAGAGATTGTGTCACAGCGTTTGGCGCAGGGTTTCCAATTGATTGTGGTTGAAGAGAAGAGTGCACAACCAGCGCAGGCGCCTTGTTGTGGTGGTAGCAAACAACAAAAGCCATCTACCGTTTTGGGCATGGTAGCGCCAACAGAAGTTACCAAAGAATATATGCTCTCAATCGGTCGTATATTTCATCGTATTACGCTGGTGGGATCTGTCATAACAGTTACTGGTTATCGTCCCAGGTGAGTGATGCGTAGTGTTGTGTAAAATTTTTGGAAATATATTTTTATAAAAAGAAATTTCATATCATTTGCAGACATCCATATCCGCCCATTAATGTTGATTATCGTTATCGGTTTCATGCACCCCAGCATGAGACCTATGAAATATCAGGTGTAAATTTTACGACTGAAAAGCTGGAAAATTTCAATTGGAATTTTATGGATCATTATATTTGTACGCGTGGTGATCGTGATTATTCATTGATGGAGGTGAGAAAAAAAAAAACTATAATAAAGTACATATTGACAAATTTTTCAATTACAATGTTTTTTTAAATATATTTTCCACAGAGCTTAAAGTATTGGCGTTATCGCATGTATTTACTGCCCACTGACAATTTGGCAATGAAGAAAATCATCGAATACGGTAGTCAACGTTGTGATATCTATACTGATTTGGCTGTGGACAATACGAAGAAGCAGGTGGAAGACTTTATGCGTTTCATGGAAGTGCACATAAATAAAGTGAAGCGTCAGCGTGTTCATGTAAGCCAGTATCGGGGATATTATTGATTTGTTTTTATTTTTTTTTATATTTTTTCTTACCTTTCTTGCTTCTCACATACTCAGTAATACTACTCTTAAGTATTATCAAAATATGTATATTTTGAATTAATTCTTTCTGGACTTTTTTTTAAAGCGGCAACTAATTATTTACAAATTAATTTCGTAATTCATTTCGCAAATTATTATTATTTTATTCAATACATTTAATCATAATCTTTTAATCTTTTAGTTGCTAATATTTAATGCTTACTTTTGATTTTTGACATTTTTACAATTCTACAGTATCATATATAATTAACATTTAACGCTTTTGACAAATGAAAATTTCTGTTTCAATTTTGAAAAATTTAATTGCTTTAATACAAATAGAGCACGTTATGCGCTATTAAACACCTTTTTAAGTTTCTATATCAATCATCTTGTACGGTAAATTTTTTTTGCTTTCGATTTCGTTCATTTCCAACGGTTTAAACAAAAGACTTAAGCCACGAACTCGAAGAAATTGTGCAGAAACACTTTTTTCTTTGATTATGAATTGGAAAAATTGCGTTAAAACTCGTTTATGGCTTTTTAAATTGAATTAAGTTCTTGAAAGACATTTTTTAAACGAAGAATTACTGAGCAAGTTTTGCTTTGTTTTTTATTTTTTATGTTAATTTAATTTTTTGGATATATATATTTGTATAAATAAATTTTTCATTTGTGATAAGCATATTATACATACATACATACATGTATTTCTATCTATATATTGTATATTATAACATATTAAATAAATAATTTACTTACATGCTACTTACTTACCCTACTATACATACACATACATACATGTGTATGTAAACTACAATACATATATTTATTGTCTACTTCAAATGAACTTATTTTCTGATATTTTTCCAAATTGTTGTTGCTTTCGGCTTATGTATCGAGTTGGAATCATTTACAGGATAGCCCCACCGCACAAAGTCATTTAACACGACGGCGTCACAGTACCAGCATTATTTCCAGACCTCAACCCAATCAGGTTCTTTACTTAAAATCTTTACATTCTATCTTACATACATAATCATGCAAACATGCGTTTCTTTTACTGCATACGCACATATGTACATACATACTAAATAGCTAGAAATTAATAATGTGAATCGTTATTGCAATTTATGTTTAATAAAATACGCTATAATTGTCAATTGGCAGTATCTTTCTAGTGAATAAAATTAAAATAATAAAAAATACATTTTCTAATTAAAGCGTAAAAAATAAAATATCATTCCTTTTGCCATTTTTTTTTTGTTTACTTTGTTTGTAATAATTTTGCTTTGCTAATTTTAAATATACATACGTACATAGTAAATTCCCAGTAACATTCTTACGCTAAAAACAGTAATTCCATCTAGTAAAAAGTTAAATTGTGAAATGCTATTAATTATAAAAAAAAAATTTATACCGTGTTACAAATACAAATATATTTATATAAACATTTTTTTTATTACTTAAACTATGTATGCGACTAATTTTTTTTCCTGACGTACTCTTTGAACCTGAAGGGACTGGTGAATTCGCCTTTTCGTGAACGTGTTGGGAGCAATCGTCTACCGGAAAAACGACCAAGGTTCTTATACTGTCATTAATTATGTTGTTAACGGTTATGATAACAGTATTTCGACAGCACTTTAAACGCATTATCAGTATCATTTGTTTGGCTCGAATGCTTTCTCATTTTTAAGGTGTTTGCTTTCGTACTTACATACATACATACACGTACATGCACCATTGCACTAGTATTCGTAATTATGCGAATAATGCTATTGTTATCGCTTCTATAGCACTTACCATACTCTCATACATACATACGTACATAAGTATTATTGTCTAAAATGGTTCTTTTGCAACTTTCTAAAAACTTCCAATCTTAATGTTCATATTAATTTTTATATTTATTTTTTTTTTTTGTAATAGTAGGTAAAAGAGTCATAGTTTATTATATTTCTATTATTTTCTAAACTCTGTTCTTACTGAATAACTATATTATGATTTCATGGTAAGCATTTATGGCCGCCCAAATTATATTTATTTATTTATCAACACTTTTTTATTCAAGCAATTTCTTCAAGCACAACTCTTCCGTAAAACATATTAATATTCGTATTTTATTTTAATTAATTGATTTAATTTGATCTCTACATTTTAATTTGGTTTTCGGTTTTCAGCATGTTACATCTAGAATTAATGAAAAGCATCATCCACTATTTATGTCAACACAGCAAAGGTTGGTCAAAGCGAAGCTTTTAAGTTTTGTCCGATTTGTTTTTTATGCATTTCATAGCGCACATATCAACTAATAAAATTTAGTATGTAGTAGTTGTAGTTAGTGCAAAAAAAAAAACCGTACCGTATTTGTACATTCGCTGGCCGATGGAGGTGTACTAAGCTGTATTAATGAGATTAAATAAATAAATAAAAATATTTTAAAAATTATTATTCAATAAAAACGCACATCAAACAGTTTGACCGAAAGTACTAACAATATCAGCACAGTCTATTTCAAAATGTTTATTTACAAATGTTTGTATTTCATTAATTATATTTCAAAATTTCAATAAACATACAACACTTAGCTGCTCGGTTAAACTGCATGATGTTGACATACGTATTTAAGCAAAAAACAAACTAAACTATATGTACATATCTTTAAATTAGCTTTATCTCCAAACCCGTAATGAAAGTTGATCGTGGACGCATATCACCAGCAGCAGATGCAGCGGCTATTGCATTGAATACCGATTTAAACCATAGAGAGGATCACGATGATGGGTGAGTCATTTTTTTTTTTAATAATGAAATATAAAATAAATATGAAATGTAAAATATTAATATTCTGCCAAAGTTTTGTAACGGAGGTTAAACTACGACCAAATTCCAATTTGACTGAAGTTCTCGAGGCGATGAAGCATCCCCAAACTGGCGTAGCATTTTTCACGCAGACCACCAGTCTGCCAAACTATACATTTGTTTCGCATGAGGCCTTACTTTGGCTTAAAGCACGTATGGACAATAGCAGAAATCCTTTAGAAATACTAGAAGCCATGAGAAAGTAAAACAATTTGTCTTGTAGATAAATTTCAAAACACTAATGTGAACTGTTTGCAGAGAGAGAATGATTTGTCACGCTTCGGGAGATTGGGATAAACAGATTATACCAGGATTTTATCTTTATTATATACCACAGCCAGAGAAACAACCAGTGAAAGGTACGCTAAAGCGGTTACTCTTTAAATTCAATGAAATGTTTATTTTCAAATGACTTACATATACATATCTTTAGTTGAAAATCACAAAGTATTACCACCAGACTTCAATGCATTTGAGCATGAATGGATGGAGATAGAACTACAAGGTTGCAATCATCTTTGGTTTGAGGAAGCGAAAATGCCAAATATACCAACATTCCTGCGTGATATACCATCGGCGCAATCTTGGGCTGACTACAGTCAAAATAGTAAGTGCCATAAATGCGTTTTTATTGAATATATGCATTAATTAATTATATATTAATATATCATATGAATTAATTAATAATCAATATATATAATTTATAGATAGAATTTATCGTAATTCTCATTTGGAAATCAATGTCAATCAAAAGAGTGATCGAATGGAATGGGGCCATGTCAAGTATCATACTGTTATGCAGCCGGGCTATGCCTTTGAAATAGTTGTTGAGTGGGTGACAGCTTCGGGTCCTATTGTAGGCGATCTGGTATATGAAAATTATGTGCTAGCGAGCATGGGGAGAGCTTACTTAAATATTTCACCATTTATTTATTTTAAGATATGGGGTTGGACACGTAAGGCAAATCATTGCAACTATGAATTAATATCAGTGCCTGCTGATCCAATGGCAGAACCGTTTACTGAAAAATCTGACCCATTACGTGGTCCTATTTTCATACCCTTGTCGGAGAAGTTTTTGAGTAGCAAAGGTGTTATGTTTGGTGGTAATTTTTTTTTATACTTAAAATCTATTTTTTACAATCTTGAATATATAATTTTACAAGCGGAATAATATTCAAAGAACAATATTATGTTCTGTTTGTTTAATAAACTTATTCATTCTGTTTATAATAGAATTCTCCGAGGAAAGCAGAGCTGATCGCATGCTTTTGTTTCAAGAAGCTATTCTTGCAAGATTCGGATTCCTACCATGTGTGATAGAAAAAAAATTTTCATTTAATAAGGATGTAAGTTTAAGAATGCAATAGTTTTGACTAAAACAATACTTCTATTTTAATGAGAATCTATAACTCAATAGATACCGAAGGAATATCAATATGTGCATTGCTCTGGTCATATGTTTGTACTTATTCGGTAAGAAATATTGATGGAAAATTAAAAAATAAGAAATTTATCTAAAAGACTTGAAATTATTTACAGCTGTTCGAAAAATAATTATCAAATTGAATCTCCAAGTCGGCAAGAAGCAAATGTTACTCGCTGCGTTTATGGCCATACAAACAATACGAACGTACCAAAGAAGGTATAAAGTTAAAGATCTATTTATGGTTTAAATATTGTTTTTTTTTACCCTCTACTATAACTAGGTTGGATTTTTGTGGGCTTGGAATCATATGATACCCAATAAGAAATGGAAATCTTTAGTTATTAAAAATTCACCAGATGGTGAGCTGTTTCAATTAAAAATGTTGAAAGACTTTCGCGATTTTTGTTCCGATACTGATGAGCGCCTTTCAAAATTCTGGGAACTTTGTTATGAATTAAAGCGTAAATCTTTAAAAGCCGACAGCAATAATGAAGGGAAATTAAAGTAGATTTAAAAAAAAACACACATGCGTTACATTTTCTAATACCATGTGCTTCATTCACCTAATTGAAGTCTGTTATCGACTATAAAAAGTTTGTTGGCACAAAGTACAGAAGAAAACATTTAATTGTGCACAGCAGATATCAAAATACAAAATTGTGATAATACTAGAATGCGCTGGGTATAATATTATATTTTTGGTTCCTGTTGAACATAAAAACCTCTATAATTGTTAAGTAATTAATATAGAATTTTTTACCATTGTAATACAAATAATAAAAAAATAAGAATATTTTATATAATAAATAAATCTTTTTAAAATTGTAAATGTATTTATGTAAATCTTTTAAATCCAAGGCAGTGATAGCAAAACAACTGTTATATTTGTAATCTGTTATATCACAAAACTTGTGCAATATGTAAACGTGCAATATCCTGAAGTGCCGGTGAATAAGAAACAGCTGATCGCAAGTTTGGCGCTACCATGTCGTTTTATTCTTTTAACTTCTTGCTGAATATTGAATTTTCTCTGTCATAAACTGTTAATAATATTAGGAATTTCTTGCAGAAATCGAAATATGTTATAATTAAAATTCTGAATCGCTGTTTCTCCAAAGTAATGTTATTGTTGTTGTAACCGCAAAAATAGTCGCGAAAGTACTTTTTGAGGAATGTTGCTGGAGTGACAGTCATTGGCCGGATAAATAATATCGTTGTCGTCTCGGTATAAAGACCCGACTTTCGCGGAATCTAATGGATTTAGGTCGCCTCTTACGAGAGACATGCCTTACCGCGTGTAAGTTCTGGGACCCCTAACCCGCAGGAGGGGCTCCCAAGTAATCACTGATGACGGTAATAAGAAATTTGAATAGAAAATTGAACACATCTGGCATTGATCACTTTTCTGCAATTTTGACAGCTAAGTTGTTTTTGTGTTCTTAGTTTTTCTATTTAACGAAGTAATCAAAATACAGTAAAAAAATTTACAATTGGTCTTGATTTGTAGCTTTGAAGGGAGCAAAAAGTTTTGTAAATTTTATTGTATTGAATATGCCACCGAACATTATACAGATAAGCTCTGATTAATTGAATTCAATTGAATGATAAGTTGTATTTGACTGGTAAATGACACATAATAAAGTGGTATTGTTGTGTTTATGTGGAAGTGTGTTCTGGAGTTGTGGTAAAAGCCACAATTTACGTTTGGTGTTAAAGAGCATAAAACTTAACATTTGATTTGTTTGCGGGAAATACAATTAAAATTCTGCGTGAAAGATTATGCCAACAAAATGAAGAAGTAAATCATTTAGTTAGACACAAAATTGAAGGAGCACAAGGTGCCTGGATGAAAATTTGTCAACACAGAAAAATATACATTTTTTAACTATCCTATTCTAAGAGTTAAAAAAGATAAATAAGTTTCAAAATTTTGTTGTTTTCGCTACTTGTTGTGGTTGCCTGTGTAGCCGTTGTCCTATCGGAAACTTGCAAGTGGACAACTGATGTGACTACATGCAAATCCATGGCACATTTTACTTGGTGAGTAGAAGGAATGTAGAGAAAAATATATAGTGTAGTAATAAATGCTGTATGTATGTATGTACATATATGCACATTGATTGATTAGCAATTTAATTTAATTTATTTCTTTTTTTTTTTTTGTAACTTATGCAAAGCGCACCATTTAATCTGCATAAAATGTCCAAATTTGCTTTGTCACCAGCTAACGCGCAATGGCTAGTGAATGATATATTTGTACATATGCACCTATGGATGTATGTATGTATACACATATTAGCTAAATATATAAATACGTATTTCGAAATCAAGGAAAAACCGCAATTATATATTAAGCACAACGCGTAAATTATTTTGCCAGCTTCAGAGATTAAACAGTCCAATAATTACAATACATGTGGTAAAATTTTTGTATTGTAAAATTTTGTATACACCTGCATATACATAAGTTTGCACGTATGCTAGCCAAATGATAGACGAGAAAGATATTGCTGGATAAAGCGGTTATTGACTTTTATTTGTTTATCACAATACAGATATTCATACGTACATATGTACGAGTATATACATATATATGTACGAACATGCAGCAAATTAAAATTTAGTATGAAAATGTAGAATTTTATATGTTGTTGGTGCTATTGGGAAAACGTTTGTTTTAAGTTCTTCCGTTACTTAACTTTTGTGTACTTTGCTATCATTTTGTATTTGCTGTTTGCATGTATGTATGTAGGTTTACACTACGTAGGTATATTTCCAATTGTTTAATTATTTTATTCCGAAAACGCTACTAAGCAAGTCTTTTAATTTCAGGTACAATAAACACAACCTGCCTCAGTCAAACGTGAGTCGTGCGGATATTGAACACCATGTTCCGCTTTGTTCCGTTACCGATGTTCAGTTGAGATTTCTGGTTCCAGATGACTTGACTGAGGTGCATATAAAATTAAATAGATAAATAAATGTAAAAATAATCATTTAACTTAATGTATACATAAGAAATATGTAGATATAATTCTTTAATTAATTTCTATGTAATTGAAGGTGAGAACACTATGTCAAGATTGGTTTCCCATTGATTATCCGCTGTCATGGTATGAAGATATAACATCGAGCTCGCGCTTCTTTGCGCTTGCGGCTGTTTACAATTTGGCTATTATTGGTTTAATAGTTGCCGAAATCAAACCTTACAGAAACCTTAACAAAGAGGTATAGCACTTAAACATACAAAATTTTTAATCATTAAATAATAAATAAATTTTTGATGGGGCTTTTTTCATTTCAGGATAAAGGGATTTTACCCGATTCAATGGGTCGTAATGCAGACATAGGATATATTCTCTCTTTAGGTGTACATAGGAAACATCGTCGCAACGGCATTGGATCTTTACTATTGGATTCGTTATTAAATCATTTGACAACAGCCGAACGGCATTCGGTCAAAGCAATTTTTCTGCATGTGCTAACCACAAATCAACCTGCCATACTTTTTTACGAAAAGCGAAGGTAGGTGAAACGATTAAGCGTTGAATACGTATAATTATACATTGAATAATATTCTATTTTTTGTATTTATAATTGTTTTTTTTTTTTCAGATTTCACCTGCATTCCTTCCTTCCATACTATTATAACATACGGGGTAAAGGGAAAGATGGTTTTACCTATGTCACCTACATCAATGGTGGACATCAGCCATGGACATTATTATATCCTTTTCTACTTATTTTCATTCATATTCAAACAATATACGAAAGCCGAAATTCATACCTATAAACTCTAATTCCGAATTCCTTCATTTTAACACAGAGTATAGCATAACGTAATTATAATATTTAATTATTGAATTCTTTTTTCATTAGATTGGCAAAATAATATTGTTTTTTGTTTTGAAAATTAGAAAATTTTCGATCGCTGCCAAATAGCCGTATTGAAAAAATAAATGAAATGAATTGAAGTTATATTTTTATTTGTGCTATAAAATTACAATTTCAATCATTTAAATATTAAGTTATTTTCCACAACAACGCTGTCTACAAAGTTAAAAACTGAATAATTATCTAATATTTTCGGCTTTCGTTTGAATCAACTTTTTATGCAATTTACGGTTTCCTCAACTACTTTGCACAGATCACATCAGGCATTATGTATCGAAGCTGCAGCATGCTGGCTCGGTGTTCACATGGATTTCAACGCGTTTGAGGCAAGTTGTGCGTTGGATTTGTCATAAAACTGTGTCTCGCTTTAATTTTGCACATTAAGCTCATCAAAATCCACTGACGCACTAAGTGGTATATTCGAAGGAAAGAAACGAATCCAAATCTGTAGATATTTAAGTGTATTTAGCACGGTGCTAGAGAATTAGCTAATAGGAAAATAGAATGATTTTAGTTATTTTATATATGAATGATGAAATGAGGAGCAGTTTATTTTTTTAATATGCAAGCATAATCACGATTACATTGCTGACTGCGTTCAAACAGACATAAATACATCTAGGCACATTTACACGCATGCAAATCTATTCTAAGTACGTATTTACATTATGAATAAGTAATTAAATTTTATAAACGTGCTCTACAATATAAATGTATTCATGGACACCACTAATAACTTCACATAACATTCGCTTGTTTATAGGCAATAATTATAACATACCCAAAAGTATAAATGTATGTAGACTTTTTTTTTTATTTGTTCTCACCTAAAATCTCATAAACTACAATTAATGCCTCATATTCACGTATTATTTTAAGCAAACTTTTGCTTGTCAACACATGCTGACTACAAGCTTAATTTTTCTTTTATTACATAATTATTTTTATTAACAATATTTTAATTGCAATGTTTTGTGTAAATACCATAGTTTTTTTATTGTTTTTTTTTGTATGTAAAGCGATAGTCTCTCTGTTAAATAGTATAATTTTATTCAGTTTCAGGTCATAAAGTACAATAACCGAGCATCAATAAAGACAGTATGTTAAAAATAAGCTGTTATTTATAAAAAAAAATAATAAGACGAAGGAAATAATTAAATATTATATTCAAACAAAAGAGTTAACATTATTGACACATACATATAAATACATATACATACGTATGTTAACAAGTACACCTTACTTTTGTAGGCCTACATATGAAAGATTCAAGACGCCTCAATAACCTATGTATTCTTGGCTTGCGTATTGATGTTCGGAAATCTCTGTTGTCCCCATTTACTATTACATCTTGCTCTATAGGCGCACATGATCCTACAATGAGTGGTATGGAGAGCATTTAAAAGCTGTTAAGTGCGCTTTTTGTATTGAATATGTACGCATTAATTTGCAAACGCGTGTATGTAGTTTCCTTTCCATTTTAATTGTGTTATATACATAGTATTTGAAAAAGTATTTCTAAAATACTCAACTTTTAATACAATTTTTACTGTAATTTTTTTTGAATCTGTTTGTAGCAAATTTCAAAGTGAAATTCATGTTTAAATAAAGTATATTTAAGTGAAAATATAAGCAGTTGGTTTGTGGTTTCAAAAATTATTTGCAAAGGAAGAAGCTATTTTTTACGATAACACTTAAAACAACTAATAATTTAATTGAACTCATTTGGTAAGTTGAATTAGTTAATTTAGCAGGCCATTCATAGATACTCAGGTTATATTCTCGTTCTTTAGTTTTGCGTAAAATTTAATTTATTTTTCGTAAGAATTTTAATTTCTAATAGTAAATTTTGAGAAGTTATATCATTGTTTTCATTCTGTTTTACCTTAATCCATTAATTGTATGGTTATTTTTAGATTAGAAAGTGATGGCAGCACTGAAATGTCTACAACTCTGTACACCCTGTGATAAAAAGAAACAAAACGTCAGAGAATGTTATTAAATGCGACAGTGAGTGATAATTTGCCAAGACGAAAAGTTAATTTTCTACATCTGGAGGTGTCGCGTGTGATATATTGCATATATAGATTAAAAGGGTATAAAACGCGGACTTTTTGCTCATTCACCATCCTCCTATAATTTGTTAATTTCGGTTACGGCAATAGTTAAGAGAAAAAGTCTAAAATTTACAGTGTAATTCCAAACGGAAAATTAGAAATCGCCACGAATATATGAGTTTTGAAAATTCAACTTTTTTCATGCTAATAAAGTTTTAAACACTGTGCTCAAAAATCAACAGTTTTTACACCTAAATAATTTTTCATAAATACTGCATTAAAAGCCCTATAAGATGTTGAGTCTTCAACGTAAAATATTTTATACTTTGGTACTCTGTATAAGCACCGTATTCGCATGGGGTAAGTTGGACACACAATGCTATCAATAAAACAATGCACACCGATAAACGAGTGATATTACTCAATGAGGTTGTATAACATGTGCTTAAAAACAACCTAATGTACGTCATTTTTGAATGCGACAGTCAAACGAATCCTTTGTAAGCAACGGTACATAATTCTGCTAAAAAATTACAATGAATATGCTACTATATAAAATTACTTTCGTCATGGTTAGGCCACCCAATTTGGTTAGGTTAGGTTAGACTAGTTATCGAATTGATAAACGTGAAAAAATTGCCGGCGTTGAATAGAGCTTCTGGCTTTCATTGCATATATTTGCTTTATCAATAGTAAAAACGAATTTAAAAAATATACATACGTTTGAATGTCAATATTTCGCACCTATCGGTGTATAAACTCTGTCATTTGCCCAGTTAGTTATGTAATAAATAAATTTGTTGGATTGTTTGACAAGCGCAGACCATTCTTGGCAACATGTTGTTTATTTTTTAAAAAATATTTTGGCTAGCCTTTTTCAAGGTCGAATTGCTATATTTGCCAGTTCATTTGCTTGCTTTCATTTCCATAATTATAAATATAATATGTATACATGCATAACGGCGCTCATTGATAGGTACGTTAAGAAATAAATATGTAAATATCTAATCATTTAAAATTAACAAGTTCAAAAGTTTATATATACACAGCACTTATCACTAGCAGAAGATACGATTTTTACTAATTATTGCCTTGTCATCATACCGGCCGGTAGGTCCTTTGCGGGTATCATTTATGATACTATATACCTATAAGAAAACATTTGAAGTGCTTACGTATTGTACATATGTACACATGTATGCATGTACATATGTACACATTATTCAATTCGCCAATTCGATTTCTTACAATACTAATATAACTGCGAGTATGATTGTAGTGCTGAGCATAACGCATTACAGTTTTGCCGCCATCAGTGCCATTGCGCCGGTTGTTGCGGTCACGTATGCATTCATCTGCTTCACGATGTTTACAGTGGTCGTGATATTTCATTTTATTTATTTTGACGCCATTTAATTAATTTTAAATGCTCAAAGCTTTTTTAGTACCATAATAAAAGGAATAAGAAATGGCAAGAATATGAAACAGATCAAAAAATAAGTAATATAATGTTTCAAAAAATAATTGTCGCAAAAAAGTTGTCCTCCGACGTCGGCCGTTGTTGCTAAGAATTTATGATACAATAAAGCATCACGCAATCCGCAGTTTGATATTGCTTGCGCATCAATAACTTTGCCGTTGCATTTTGGAACATGATATATGTATATGTATATATATCGTCAAAGTTTACACAGTTGAATTTAGGAATGCGTGACAATGTATGGTTGCTTTGAAACCGACGTTTCGGAACTCACCCATATTTTCATCTTACAGTGGAGCCTCAATATACATTCAAATGTACAGGGTTGGCTCATTGATTAGCATGCCCTATCATATTCCAATAATACTGATTGAAAATTGAATAACGGTATTTTAAAAAATCTTTGTATTTTATATTAATAAGATGTTTTTGCCATTCGAAAACATGTATTTCTTAAAATCTTTCGGTTGGTTTCAAAGGAATATCCCTTTATTTAATAAATGCTTTTGATGTAAACTTTCATTTTAATTAGCACATTCTGACATAAAAAATGTTTTCGTTCGTTTGCGTTCAAGGTTGCGTTTTTTCTACGAGATTTTCTGAAAAAAAAATTTGTAATAGGCATAAGTGTGAATTATTTATAATGGGATGTTATCAAAACTCCAAGGAAGAGGGTACGCGTTTGGTATGGAACTTATTCCAGGACGAAAAAAATTTTAGTGAAATTATCCATTGCTTTAGAAATCCGCCGAAAAAAATTCAAAACGCTTCCTTACAAATACGAGAAATATGGCGTAGCCATTGCCAGTAGGATATCTAACAGTCCAGTGGCTTTTAGAAAGCAAACATCGGAGAAGAAAGCTTAAAAAGGCCAAAAATTGCAAACAATAATCGGAAGCCCCGATTGGAATTTGTCAGATTTCATAACAATTCCTGTCGTTCCTCCTAGAATTCTGTATTTTGGATCGACGAATCTAAATTCCACTTACACGGATGGTAAGACTTATGTACGACGCCGTTAGACGGTTAAGTTCCATGGGGAAGTGTTATAGTTTGATGCCGCTTTACGAAGCATGGAGTTGGTCCTATTTTGGCAAAGAGCTTGCTTGAAATTCATTCTCTACCGTTTTTGGAAGACTTACCGTTATCTCTATATACCACCGCAGTTTTTCCACATGACAATGCGCTTTGCCGCAAGTCGAGACCTATGATTCAATGGCTTCAAAACATTCAAAATCAATAAAAATTATATACAGTAAAATTTCAAAGAAAATCTGTTTCTCTAGCTTTTAAAGTTCTACATAAAAGGATTTTGTTTGACAAGACTCCTAGTATACATTTGTGAAGAATAATTTTTTAGGACGAATGATTTTATAAGCCTGATTCAAGAGGGAATTCATAAAGTAGAAAGCCACCATTGTAAGCGAGAGCTAATGCTTTGCACTATTTTCGAAATTTTTTTTTTTTATTTTAATTGGTATTTTCTTGTTTTTAGTTCGCAGTTTTTAGAAACAACTTGCTAAGTAAAAACCTAAGGAAGGGCAAACACAAGAGGCAGTTGAAAATATGTTTTTTTTTCAGAAATTAGCTTTTAGCAAGAGCGAGATTTTCATAATCGGAGCTTGTAAGAAGGTAATAAAAAAAAGTTATATTTTTTGTTGTATTTTATCTACGTAAGAAGAACAATACAATTAATATATGCATATATATTTATGTTTAAATGTATATGTAATAAAATGAATAGAAATAAGATTATAAAAAATCCAAGTCCGCAAAGACTCAGGCTCAGTTCATCGGATTTCATTAGAACAAGCAATCAGCTATTGCTATCTTATAAAAATTTCCGCCAACTCAACATTTTTCATATAATAAGAACTTGAGAACAGCAAAAATAATAATAATAAATATTTATACTAAGTGTAGGATTTTATTTATTTTACGCTTGAGTCGGCAAATATTTAAAGGCTGAAATCTGATTTTTGTGGTTACGACAAACATGCATACTATGTATGTATGTGCATAAATTTGTGTATGTACGTGCATATATCCAAAGGAGATACACATTTGCATTTTAAAAACTCTTCGTTTCGAAAAAATTTCCGCTTTGCTGTTTTTTTGCTTTTGTATTCAGAAATCTAAAAATCTTTTCCTATTTCCTTAGGTATGTACGCATTTGTTGCCGTCAACTCCACGTTTCCTAACAGGAACGTTTTTACGTTAAGGATATTTATATACACATACATGCTTATATATCTACATAAATTGGTACCCTCTAGTGAAATGTCGGATCTTCAACTACTTTGTAGGTTAACCGGCCATTTAACAATTTTTTTAACTTTCAACTGTTGGTGATGTTAATAATATTATTAACTAATTCTGGATCTAAAAATATTGATAATATTAACCATTATCACATAAAGGTCTGAATATTTTTTATTAAATTTTTTTTAATGCAAATCAGAATTTGCCAGTAACACGAAAGTTTTGCCAGAAATCGGACAGAAAAAATCCAGTAACGCCACTCATTATTCAAAACTAAAAGGATTGTTTTATAATGTTTAATATTTAATATTTAAATAAATCAAATACGAGGGGATTAACAGAAGTTCAGTAAGCTGCCCAGAAAAAGAAAAAATATTTTTTTTGTATTTATTCGCAATCTTTGTCCATTTTTTATCTTGTACGTAGTCAATCGTAATTGATTACAATGCAATTCTTAAGCCTATAGGTCCACTTCTAAAAACAGTCTTCCAAATCTTGCTTTTTGAGCTTATCATGTTCAGCATAAACCGCATTAATTACCTTCTCCGGTTATTAAAGACCTTTTATTTTAATTTTTGGAAATAAACAGAAATCACGAGGTGTTATATCCGGGGACTATAGGGCTGGCCATACTTCTTCAATCCCAGAGATCGCAATAAAATTACTTTTTTTCAGCAGTGTCTGATAGAGCAAAAAATAGCACCGCAAGTCCTCTTTCTTCCTGTTTTCCAACAAATTTTTGAACTTACGGGTGAATTCGCTAATGCTGGGGTCCATACCATGGACTGCTGTTTGGTTTCTGGATCGTACTTATAGAACCGAGATTCGTTACCAGTAACGATTTGACTAAAGTTGCTAGACTGGCCATTTTCGATGCATAAGATTCGTGGTACGTGGTACGTGGTTAGAGCAGATTTCTTCGTGTATCCCAGATGATTATTTAATATTCGCGATACAGCCATGACATTCAAGCTCAATTCATTAGCAACCATTTCTTGTAACAATCGAGGATCTTAGTCAATTTTTGGTCTTAACCAGAGCTGCAGTGACGTCATCAGGGGATAATTTTGGTCAACATTCTCGGGGCTCGTCCTCTACGGAAAAATCTCCGGCCTGGAGTCTTCGGAAACACTTAGAAATAGTCTTTAAAGACGGTGCGATTTTTCCATATCCAATTTGACGTTCACTGAGTATTTGTATTGGCTGTAAATTACGCCGAAACCCGAAGAGAATCACATAGCGAATTTTTGTTTGTCAGCTATCTTGGGTTTTCTAGTCTCCATTTTAGTCGATCGATCTAAAAATTGAAAGGAAGACTAATAAAGTAATTGCTATTTTTAGATTCAATAAAAACAATCTGAAAGTCACCAACTGACCGTTAATGCCTTCGCAAACAAACGCAAGACTTCGACAATAACAAATTAACTTTTGCATTTCTTCAGTAATTTCAATGCACTTCAACAGAGCACATATCTAGGTACCGATTTGCATGATATGAGTCGTATTGGGAGGTAAAATACACACAAAATAATGGCTTTGGAATCACAGAAATCGCTGAGCATTATAGTCAAGTGTGATTTATGTCCATCTACAAATAGAATTATTGACCTTTTGATAT